CATTTCATTCATTCAGTCAGTCAGTCATTCATTTCATTTCATTTCATTTCATTTCATTCATTCATTCATTCATTTCATTCGTTTCATTCATTTCATTCATTCATTCATTCATTATTCATTCATTCATTCATTCATTCATTCATGCATTCATTCATTCATTCAGTCAGTCATTCTTTCATTCATTTCATTTCATTTCATTTCATTTCATTTCATTTCATTTCATTTCATTCATTCATTTCATTTCATTGCATTTCATTGCATTTCATTTCATTTCATTTCATTCATTCATTCATTCATTCATTCAGTTGAGGCGGCAGCGCAGGCAGGAGGGCGGAGGCATGCCGGCAGTCATTGCCATTCAGTTCCATTCATTGTGCATGAAGCAGGCAGCCAGGCCAGGACAGGACAACGCACAGGCATATCCAGTCCTTCCATGCCATGGCCCATTCATTCAGTCATCAGGCAGTGCATTCATCAGGCAGTCCTTCCATTCCAGGCCATGCCAGGCAGGCATGGCCATGACCCTCGTAGTGTAATTCATCAGGCAGGCGGAGGGCAGGCGCAGGCAGGGCAGGGCAACGGCAAGGAAGGCAGCAGGCAGGCAGGCAAGGCATGTCAGGCATGCAGTGCTGGCTAAGGCCAGCCAGGCCAGGCAGGCCGAGGCGGACGGAAGGCAGGTGCAGGCCGATGAAGGCAGATGTACCAGGCAGGAATGCCAGGCATGAGGGGCAGTCATGAATGACAGGAAGGCAGGCAGGAAGGCGGCAGGAAGGGAGCGGGCAGGCAGGCAGGCAGGAAGGGCAGGCAGGCAGGCAGGCCAGGCAGGCCTGCATGCATGTGCGGCAGGAGCAGGCAGGAGGTAAAGGGCATTTTATTCATTCATTTCATTCATTCATTCATTCATTCATTCATTCATTCATTCATTTCCATTCATTCATTTCATTTCCATTCCATTTCATTCATTCATTCATTCATTCATTCATTCATTTCATTCATTCATTCCATTCCATTCCATTCCATGCCATGCCATGCCATGCCATTCCATTCCATTCCATTCCATTCCTTCATTCATTCATTCATTCATTCATTTCATTTATTCATTCATTCATTTATTCATTCATTCATTCATTCATTCATTCATTTCCATTCATTCATTCATTTCCATTCATTCATTTCATTTCCATTCCATTCATTCATTCATTCATTCATTTCATTTCATTCATTCATTCATTCCATTCCATTCCATTCCATTCCATGCCATGCCATGCCATGCCATGCCATGCCATTCCATTCCTTCATTCATTCATTCATTTCATTTCATTTCATTTCATTTCATTCATTCATTCATTCATTCATTCATTTCATTTCATTCATTCATTCATTCATTCATTCATTCATTCACGTGTATTTGATTGTTTCATTTCAACACAGTATATTTATAAATATAGTATGGTCATTTGATTTTATGTCATTTGATTTTATGTCATTTCATTTCACCAAGTTCGTTTCATTTCATGTCATTTGGGTTCATTTCATTCGATGTCATTTCATTGCACTTATTTTCATGTCTTTCATGCCATGCATGTCTTTCATGTCATTCATGTCTCTCCTGCCATTCATGCCCTTTATGCCATTCATGGCATTATTTCCTTTCTTTCCATTGACTTCATTGAATACATTAACTCCGTTGATTCCATTTATTCCGTTCATTCCATTCATTCACACATTTGTCCGTCCGTTCATTACTTCATTTCATGATGCGTTTTGCTTATGTCATGTTGTTTCCATTTGTTTCGTTTTGTGGGTGTGTTACCATTTCATTCATTGATGCAATAATTCATTCACTTCATTTTGCGTGGTTTCATTCCATTTTACCAAATAATGTCAATCTATTCCATTCACTTGTTTATTTGCTCATTCGTTCATATCAATCGGGCGTTGTTTCTTTCATGTCCGTTTATTTTAAGTCATTGTGTTTCCTTTTGTGCCATGTCACTTCATTTCAGTTCATTTCAGCTTTGTCCATTCAATTTCATCTGGTTCAGTTCCTTCATTGCATACGTTCACTGATTTCACTCATTACCACATGTATTTTATTAATTCATTCAGTCATTCATTCATGCATTCATTCATTCATTAATTCATGCATTCATTCAATTCATTTGGTTTAATGTCATTGTCATTGAATTTTCCTTTTATTCAAGCATTCATTACATGTCATTTCATGTCATGTCATTTCATGTCATGTCATTTCATGTCAGGTCATGCCGTTCATTTCATGCATGTGTTCATGTCTTTCATTGTAGTCATGTCATTCAAGTATTTCATCATAAGTTCATTCATGTCATCTATTCATTCATGTCAGTGCATGCCATGGACATAATTGTATGTAATTTCATGAATTTCCTGTTGTGGTATTTTATGTTTTGCAATATACATATATATATGTATATATATATAACTGTGTGATATTATGTATCACTTCATTTCATGTGATTGGCTTTGAGTTCAGTTCATTGCAGTTTATGTCATTCATGTCATTTAATGTACTGTCTTTTCAATTCATAAAAGTTCATGCCATGGCGTTCATTCATTCATGTCATTCATCCATTGCATTGCATTGCCTTTCCCTGCATTTTATGTCATGCGTTCATTCCCTCAATATATTTGTTTCATTTGTTTGTTTGTTCATTCATTATTTCATTCCAATCATTATCTATTCAGTGTTATTCATTGAGCATTTCATGCATAATTCAAACCATTTAATGCAATTGGCAATCATCTATACACTCATTCAATCACTCATTCTTTCACACATGTTGTTTGTTTCATTAATTTACACAATTTTGCCTTAATTTATCCCCCATTCATTGATTGTTTTCCTCGCCTTTTCTGTTCTTTCATGTCTTTTCAATTCATATCAGTTGAACTTAATTCATGTCAACTCAACTCAAGCCATTTCATGTCAAATTGCTTCATTTCATGTAATTTCAGCTCGAATCATTTCAAATCAGTTCAAACCAATACACTCATTCTTTCAGCGTTCATTCATTTCATACATGCATTCATTGGTGCGTCCACTCAGCATAGGCCCTGCATTTTCCCCCATAGCCACTGACTATTTTTACAACTTCCAACCCAGGACGGTGGGTACCCGTGGCAATTGGAATGTTCTGGGGAACAGCCCTTTCAATGTTGAAAACAAGCGCAAACATATTCAGGGATCATCTCACGCATGCGGAGTACTTTATACCACTGATGTGGTGTGATTTGCAAAAGCCCTTTTGCAAATCACAGAGCGAAGTGACGCAAGTGTGCTTTCTGAGGAGCCAAAATCATCCTCAATGACTCCAATAGCTTGGGACCTTTTCACATGCCAAGGCAACAGATGCTGGCTTCTCAGGGCCTCTCAAATTGGATACCCAATCAACAAATGCTCCGATACAGTTTGGTGCTCTTGGCTCCTGGGCCTTACAGTATATTTTGACCCATGCCCACATGTTCATCTCTGGATCTTGCTGCTGCAACCTGACATTGGCGCGGTCAACCCCAGAGGTGGATGTTATGGTTAGGCAATGTGGGGGGTCGAAAGAAGGGGCATCATGATGTATGAGTGTATAAATTGAACTTACTACAGCATGACGTATATTCGTTTATGGAAATGTCTAAGATTCCTCAAATAAAACCTGTTTGGTGCAGTAGACACCCCGCGGAAGAAATTGATTTGGATTACCCTCTGGTAATTTAACATAGCTATTGAAAATCACCATTTTTAATGGAAAAATCCACTATAAATGGTCATTTTCAATAGCTACGTTAAATTACCAGAGGGTATCATCCGACCAGTTAAATTACCAGAGGGTATCATCCGACCAGTCCTACCCAGTGAATTTAAGCTGGCGCGGCTATATTCCCACAGCTTCGATCAGTCAACAGCAGGGTCGCTGGGAACACCCCGATTGGTCTCAGCGGCAGGAAAACAACATTGTGAGTCAATGGGTATCATCATCCAATGATTTTGGGTAATATGGATAAATCTATGGATATATCTATATCTATGGATTTATTGAAATAGAGTGGATGGTTGAAAATAAACACACATAAAGCGTTGCCTTAGTAAAAGTTTTATCCCTCACCAATCGATGCTCCCATTTCCACACTGAGAATACTTGACTCCTATTTTTTCCTCGCAAAATCCTCCTTTGAATGGTTTCCCTGAACTAGATTCCACTATTTTGACATGGAACCCAAAAAATGCAATATCTGAAAAACAAATCCACATCCAAAGCTAATTCTTCACATCCTTGTTCGGGACTTGCACATCGATGCAGCCAACAACCCAAAAAACATAATTTTTAAACATGATTTCCCTTCCACTGGTTTGCAACTGGGTGTATCTGAAAAGGGGGGCCCTGACCCCAAGCAAATTGAATTGGGCAAATGATGGCAATCCGTAATCATCCATGATCATCCATTGAAATTCATGTTCAAACCCATTGAGTGACATACCCTCTGGCAATCAAACAGGAGACAAAATCTATCGATGATTGTCCTAAAACTTCCATTTAGTTCCGGGATTTTCCAGCCATGTTCACTGACGGGCATCCCAAATGGCCACTTTTTCATGGTAGGAAAAAAATAAGGTTCTCATTCATCATTTCTAGTCCATTGAAATTGGAGTTTATTGGAGGGGATTGGCCATTTTCAGACAAAGCTACGGAATAGTTTCATCAATGGCCATTGAAATGGATCCTAAAATAGAGGCCATATTTGTTGGCAATTTCCCTTACATAGCACTGAATCATGGGCCTTATATGGTACAGTTATGGCCCTTTACCAGTCACTTCTAACCCCATTTATTGAATGTATAACCCCATTTGTAATTATATAGCCATTTCTAGCTGGTAATGGGCTTTAACTGTAGTTACTTGCAATATTTCTCGGTTCAAAAGGCCATTTCTTCTGTCTAACAACTCACCTAGGCACAGGCCGAAGTCGTCCTAAACCTTCACCGTAGTGTAGTCATCGGGCCGTCGCTCCGCAAGAATCCCTTTGAGTTCGACGGTCATTTCGGCAATGTAGAGCACCTCGCAGCAGCTTTTTACCAATCGCTTTTTGACTGGGGACTTGAGGATAATATACAGTTTTATATATAAATATATACTTATATATATCTACACAGTTGTATACCTACGTATATATACATATATATGATACATATGTATATAGATATATAATGTATATATATATATATGTATCATATGTATATACATATAGAAATATACATATATACATATGTACATACATATATACATGTATATATGTATATGTATACATATATATATATAAATACACATGTATATATATGTATATATATGTATATGTATATACAAATGTATATGTATGTATATATATGCATAAATGTATGTATATATATATATAGGCTCGTCCCAGGTCTGGAACTACATACGATGGGGTGGGGGGATGGGGTGGGATGTTAACGTTCATGTGAACTTGCAGAAGCAGTTGATGTTACGCACACGTGGGGTGGGGTGGGGGGGGGGATGGGGTGGGGATGTTATGTTCATGTGAACTTGCAGAAGCAGTTTTTGATTGTCGCACACGCGGGTGGGGTGGGGGGGGGATGGGGTGGGGATGTTAACGTTCATGTGAACTTGCAGATGATGATGATACTAATGCTGATGATGATGATGATGATGATGATGTGATGATGATGATGATGATGATGTGATGATGATGATGATGATGATGGTGGTGATGATGATGATGATGTGATGATGATGATGATGATGACCTTAATGAAACTTGTCAATTCAGCGATGAAATTTCGTCACGGAATTGACAAGTTTTACCAACCTAATTCAGGCTTGCGCAGTTCTAGGACCTGGGACGAGGCTATACATATGTATATATAAACATATATGTATATATGTATATACATGTGTATATATGTATATACATGTGTTTATATGTATATACATGTGTATATATATATATATATATATATGTATATGTATATATATATGTAATATATATATATATACATGTGTATATATATAATATATATATATATACTATAATATATATATATACATAAATATATATATATATATATATTATAATATGTATATATATATGAATATATATATATATGAATATATATATATATATATATATTCATATATATATATTCATATATATATATATATATTTATATATATATTTATATATATATATGTGTGTTTGTACGTGTATATATATATGTGTATTATGCATAATCATATGATTGTATACCTATATGTATGCATATTATGTATATACCAGGACCCCTTCGGTAGAATCCGGGGTGCCCAGGAGCTGTAGAAATCCTGACTTCAGGCTAAGAATATGATAATCACTTGGGATCATGGACTCATTTGTTGGAATAACACGTATATAACACAATATGTAACCAAAATATGTAACCACCAGTATACCACCAGTCAGAAATCCATCCACCATTCACCAGAGCTGCCTTTATCCCCATCATTCTGATCATGCCCAAACGAGTGATTGCGGCTCCGAATGCTGCTGGAGCTGGATGGAGCATCTATGAAAGAAACCGACAACCAGTATTTTTTATCGACAAGTAGTTTGAGAATGTTTGAGATTCTTTAGCTGGCTATAAAATGCTATGAATATCTTCCCTCAGAGCGCAAGATTCATCTACCTCAAACTTCCCTTCGGCTGCAGCGGTCACCACTTTCCCGCCTCTTTGCGAATCAAGCGCAGAAGTTTCAGGGACTGCACGGTCGACAATGGCAAATCGAGGAGACAAAGGTTCAACAAACCTGCGGCAGTGGGCTCAATGGTTTGATCCACTGATTTCTGTAAGAATGCAGGAAACATATGCCATCACATGCCCTGTTCCATGTATTGCACTTACTTCACATGTATTTCCTAAAGTCTCAGGAGCCAGTCACCAAAGACTTCATACATGGAACATATGGGATGTGTTTTAAACCAACATGTAGTACATGATGATTAGAAATGATTAAACAACTTTAAGATCCTCATCCTCCATGAAATACCTAATTAAACAAATAATATACATGTGTATATATATATATATACACGAAACACATAGGAGCACTGATCAATACAAAACATATGTATAAAACATATATTAATATAAAGCCAATGTTTGAAGCTAACAACTAAACTCCCTGTAATTCCCGGGCCTGCAAGCAGTTTCGATCAACAAAATAATCTTCAATCAACAAAACATATATGCTCTATTGTTGTTCACCAGCATTTCAAGAAATGGTTCACCCTGCACAATGCGGAAACATAAGGACCCTTGGACAAGTTCATGGCGGAATACTCTCTATTCAAACAACGTTGCCAGGTTCATTCATGGAGATCCACGGTTGGTGGAGCTGCCCATGCGGAACAATATGGGACTCAATTGGTGAAACAAACTCAGAAAAGGATGGAATTCAGAATATTTGAAGCCAACACCGGAAATGTACGGACATGTCATCAATGTTCATCTTCTCAAACCATTTTGAGTCCTGAAGAAACTGGTGTTTGGGGGGTATATTCCTCCAGTATCCCATAGTTATGGCTGAAAAATGCTGAAGAACTATGGAAATTGAACTATGGAAACTAATCTAGGAATACCAAACAAAGCTTACCCAGAAAGTTCCTTTGCACGCATCACCTTATTTGAGAGGTCATCCTACCAAACAAACCTTTGCCACACGACCAAGCAGAAGAGCGACCACTGCTTCTTCAGGACCACAACCAATCCGTGGTTTGTGAGACACACCGTAGGAAAACCCAGTGTTTTGGATGTTTTCGACACATGCCAAACGTTTTTGAGGTTGGAGTATCCCAGTCACAACAAGGACGGCTTCCTTGTTTAAATTCATGTGCCCCAACATAAGGAGGATACACACTGGATATTTTAACACTAGACATGACCCCATTGTTTGCATCTGTATTTTCTGTCGCGCTTGAAACTTGACGCGCTAGAGTCATCCCCCACTCGCACCTTCAATAAACTCTGATTGGCTCAGGGTACCAGTCCCATCCACATCCAAATAATGAAAGAGATCGCTCATGTCCTGGCTTTACTAGGCCCTAAGGAGCCTAGTAAATGTGATCCAAGAAACCACATTTGCTGGGATATGTTAACTGCTAAGGTTATTCTCTCTAGGAATCGAAATTGGCAATTGAGAACCCCAATTTTTTGGAGGAAAAAAACAGAAAATCATGAACCAATTAAATCATCATAAGTCTACAATGAATAATCAATGTAAATGCGGGATTTCCCATTGCCAACTTTGATTGCGGAAGTAGTGGCTCTTTAGGACTTGAGCATTTGGGGGACAAACTTGTGAGAACATGGGATATCATGTGAGAAGGGACCTAAGGGTCACAAAGGCGGTCATGAGCTGAGCGGGCTGATGCAAATGTTGTCGCTATATGTTCTTTCTCATGTGCCAATCCAGGTGTGAAACGCGAGGCTGGTATTGAAAGTTTGCGTCCTCGGCAAAGGCGGATTGGAGGATCCGCGGCGGCAAGATGTCCTGGTGCACTTTCGCCAGCTCCTCGCGGAGAAATCCGGAGATGATTTTGGGATGATTTGGGATGATTTGGGGATGATTTTGGTGATGATTTAGGGATGATTTGGAGATGATTTGGGGATGATTTGGAGATGATTTGGGGATGATTTTGGGATGATTTTGGGGATGATTTGGGGATGATTTGGGGATGATTTGGGGATGATTTGGGGATGATTTGGGGATGATTTTGGGGATGATTTGGGGATGATTTGGGGATGATTTGGTGATGATTTGGGGATGATTTGGGGATGGTTTGGGGATGAATTTGGGGATGAATTTGGTCATGATTTGGGGATGATTTGGTGATGGTTTTGGGATGATTTGGGAATGGTTTTGGAATGGTTTTGGAATGATTTGGGAATGATTTTGGGGATGATTTGGGGATGATTTGGAGATGATTTGGGGGTGATTTGGGGATGATTTGGGGATGATTTGGGGATGATTTGGGGATGATTTGGGGATGGTTTTGGGATGATTTGGGATGATTTGGGGATGATTTTGGTGATGATTTAGAGATGATTTGGAGATGATTTGGGGATGATTTGGAGATGATTTGGGGATGATTTTGGGATGATTTTGGGATGATTTGGGGATGATTTTGGGGATGATTTGGGGATGATTTGGGGATGATTTGGGGATGATTTGGGAATGATTTTGGGGATGATTTGGGGATGATTGGGGATGATTTGGGGGTGATTTGGGGATGATTTTGGAATGATTTTGGGATGATTTGGGAATGATTTTGGGATGATTTGAGATTTTTTTTGGGGGGGGTATCTCCATGGATTGGAAACTTCCACATGGTAGCGATGTTCCGCAACAAATAGAACAGAGAGTCGTGAGATGTCGATCCAGAATACAAATTAAGCACCAAGGATGTAGAAAAGACGGCTGAGTGGGCATTCCTGTCGACGGCGAAGGAAGTTCATGTAGGATGCAATTTAAAAATGGGCTAGTGCATGATACATTTGAATGGTATCCAATTAGATAATCCAAGGTCAAATGGTGATTGGCTTGCAGATGATATCCTATTGATACTGAATTGATATGCCATTCTTCTGCTGACTCTGAGAGCAATGGCAATGTCAGCGGCTATTGCAAAATCTCTTAATTATTATGGTTGGTTCATAGCAATTCCCACTTCATGGATTATGCACATCTCCAATATACAAAGACACAGAAACAGAAAGCAGAAGATGTGTATCAAGGATTGTTTTCAATGCTATCCTCGAACTAATCATCCAACAACCATCATAACTATGTTCCCCATGTTTTTGTTGAAACTCCCATGAATGACGCCAAAAAAAAAACATTACATTAGGGTAAGCCACCTGCGATGATTTCCCTCACCAACATCGACGCAATGTGGCGATCGATTGGTGCTTTACTCAGCACTCCAAACCATATGAGTATACAGCAATATATAAAATTCGGAACGATATCATCTATATACATATATATATATATATAATTATACTGTATGTATATATATATAATAGACTTTTTAGTTGGGTGTAGCTAAAGTCAGTAATTATAATACTTCCCTATCATCCCGTTCGGAAAGATTGACGGGCAACATCATGCAACTATCTGTCTATAATGCAAGCTAGGGCTGTTTGCAGTGTTGTCGCCATTTGAAATGCTACGTTGGTGTTTCAGCGCAAGTGCGTGAGCATGTTTGAACCATATGTTTCCATTTTGAAGAGGAGGGACAATTATGGACAACTATATTTTGAATTAGACAAATCAATCCTTGTTTGGCATTCAAAGCCAAACAAGTGATCAGAAGAAAACCTAGAGATGAATGAAACCTCACGGTGCACAGTTTGGTTTCCATACGCATTGTTTCCCTCTTGGCGGTTTAGGCCAGCTCTGAAGACCCTGCGTGGGTCGCACAAACGTCTGCCAGAAGTAAAATTGATGCTTTCCGCTTGCTCCTTGCATTCCATGCATCCTTCTGATAACATGTTGTAGGGTTTTAGATCAAATCTTTTGTCCCTCCCCGTCTTCTAAAAACTACATTTAGGGGAACATACACATCATATCACATCATATCACATCATGATTGGGATTTCCATCTTCCAACAAAACCCTTAGAAATGATTTTTAGTATATCCAACAGCACCGGGAAAAACAAACTTGGACTTTCTTTAACTGTCCTCTTCGGTCAGCATGCCGCTGCCATCTTCATCCTGTGCAGCAGCTGTCAAACCAAACAAACGTATTTTTGAAGTTCCGGTCATTCAAGGATACTATATATATAATATACATATATTGTAAAGTAAACACATATATGTACTGTACTTTTTTTGGGGGTATGCCGGGTATGCACTAGATATAAAGGTCTTGAATTTTTCTAGCTATGTTCTATCTATAAAAAAAATGATGACGACTACAGGCTTCTCAGGCCGCCGAGTCAATGCAAATCAATCGGGGTGCTTTTTGGCACTCAATCGTGTCAGTATCAACCAGCACGCTGGGAATACCAGCCATCAATCCTGAGGCACACAATTTGGACATATACTCTCTCATCACTTGCCGAACTATGTACGTATAAATTCAGAGTCAAAGACAAACTGCAATCACAGAAAACCTTGCGTGTTGCTTGCGCATGTAACATTCTATCTGCTTTACTTGCAGATGTGTTAAGACTGGTTTGCTCATGCAATCATACCTGTATACCTTTGACTTTCTGTTCAACAAAATGGCAAAACCAACAAGTCATTCATATGATTTCATATGATTCATATGTATAAACTCGCCCAGACAATGTTTTCCCAAATATTCTGTATCTATTGTACCAAATACTTTAACAGACATGTCAAGTTTGAAAACGCAGGACTTTTCAGTAGAAAAAAAAAAACAAAACATGGCCAGCCAGTTGGCAGCATCATTCTGGTTGTCAACCTGGGTGATGGGAAAACCCCCTGCCATTCCTGCACTTATATGCACTTATCACATTATAACTAGTGAATGTAGTCACGGATACTATTCAATCATATTAATTGACTGGAATGCACATCCAAGAAAGGTCAGCTATGGCCTGAAATTCCAAAAATATATGCGAAACATATCGTAGAGCGTGTTCTCATGTTCAACATATTTTTTAGCTAGCCGTTTGAAACACTGGCGCTTCGATTGTGTATATACAGAAGTTGGGGAAACCAGATTCTTTTACCAGATCCGAAGCCCTTACGAACTCAGAAAAATCTGAATGCTACTTAAAAAGTGAAGCGTCCACTATTGTTTACTCATACTCACATCTAAATATATTTAAATGACAAACAGCTATACTCTATTCTTGAGTACTGCAAATAGTTCCCATTGCTTTTTTGTTGGATTTTTATATTGCAATGGAACGGCCACGATATCAACGGCAGTAAGGACACACATGAGCTTGGCCCCAAAGCTCCTTTCCCTTCTACTGGTTGTTTCATAGCTATTCCATGGAAGAGTATGGTCCCCATTCAATAAATCAAGGCCAATGTAACTCACAGATCTATCATGATCTATCCTAATCCAGCGTTCACATTTCTCTCTGCAGCTCATAGCAGTTGCAGGGGCTCAGGCTTACCTCATGGCTATATAATCCTGCACACTGTTCTTCGAATCCATGTGTATATCATGTCTATATATAATATCGAACAATGTTCACCTACCCCAAGAATAGAAAGGAAGCAACCACTGGTAGACTTCCTTGTCAATCATGGCTTACATCAGCTAAATCTCTATTCTAGCTGGTAAGAACAGTTACAAGTTACAAGCTTTACCCCTTGCCCTTATGGCACCAGCTTTTGGAAGAGTTCCAGCAAGGACGGGAGCGCATGCTGCAGCTGCGCTTTCAAGGTGGCTTTCTCCTGGTGATTCTTCTTCGGATCCGGGTCCAGGAATGCCGGGAGTATCCCGGGATACCGCATTTCATAGCATATTATAACAATTTTCAAGTATGAAAATGATGATTGATCAACCATTCAACCATGTTCTCCTATGTTTTTTTTCCGGTTCTACAGATCTCCCTGCCCGGTGAAGTGTATGGCCCCACACAAGAATCCAATCACTCATGAGTCATGAGGCTTCTCCGCTACTCTTCTCCCGAGAATATACTCTGGAAGTAGGGTCCATCCATAGTCCATCCCTGCCCCTATCCGGGTTGACCCATGTATCCAAGTATCTGAATGATCTCTATACATTCCATATCCCAGATGCTCTATGTATATGGAATATTTACCTACATTTGGCCCATTTTTGGGGTAAATGTAGGTAAATATTCCAGCACCATGGAGCATCTGGGTATATCTAACATTGCTCGTGGCCCTGACGCTCCTCTTCAGCTTGTTGCGCGGCATTGGCCATGGCATTCTCAACCAAGGCCTCGAGACTCGAGCTAGACCAGCTGGGCAAACGGTCATCAAACGGAGCGATATGAATAATTAATAGTAGAACATAATTAATGATATATCATCAATATTATTGATGGTTATTAACAAATCTCAATTAATGATTATTATGTAGGAACCATACCATCAATATGATCAGATGGTAATGTTTAATCGGACATAATTATAGGTTAAGTAATAAGATCAATATATACATATATGTTGATGGTTGATTCATCAAGAATGGTTTTCATCAATACTCCCAACAGTTTGCATCAACAATTAGGAGTGTATCAACAAAAAATATTGCTATGGCTATCACTTAAGGTCGATTCTGTCATGATAATCTGCAGGAAACGCTGATGGATTTACAATTGGAACAAACAAAAACATGCAGAAACTTATCTTAATGAAATCCGATGATAATCAGTTATCATCATATTCAATTTCTTGGAAAATCCATCAATCAACATCTCCAAATCCATCCAAATCCCTGATACCGTGTAGATGCAGGCCCATGGGCAATGATCCCTAAGTGAAGCATTTGGGAACAGCGCTTGGTTCATTGATTTATCGTACTTGATGCTATAGAGATTATTACAGGAAGGCCGCCCACCTACAAGTTGGTTTAAAACCACCTATGTAACAACATCTGTGTATATATATATACATATATGTGTACATATAGATTTATACATACACCATACTTTCTAGTTATTATAGTCACAAAGCCACAAACCACGACTTTGGTCATGGCCAAAACGGCTGGTTTTTGCGGTCCCTATTTTGGCCCGGGCCTTGGGAAGCCACCTTGTCTCATTTAACACGTCCATTATTTAGTGATTTAGTGACATTGTATCCCACAGATACCTATATTAAATGGCGGTTCCTCAACCCAAATGTGCCAAAGTCGTGGATATTCAAGTTAATTATAAACGAATCCATTCCCAACCGCACATCCATGTCCTGTTGTGGTTTAAGAAACAATGATCATGCAATAACTGTTCGAAAACTAAACAATAAGGTTCGGAGCCTGCCATGACTGAAACTTTCTCGCGATTCGTATGATTCACATCACAGTGGCACAACTAACCATGGTGAGCTTTAGCAAGTGGCATCCACCATGGTGGCAAAAAGCGGGAATCTGATGGATCCCGATTCTCTGGAAACCTTTACTTTGGCTTTCCTGCAGCTTCTTCCTTCAACTTTGTTTAACGTACCGAGTGGATTGTCATGATGGTTACAACCCCCCATCTTTGGTGTTTCTATTCCTATGTTTCTTGCAGAAATGCCAGCAGAATCCAATCATTGGTGTCTTTAACCCCTCCCATAAAGCACATATGTCATTTAGAGATAATTCCGGGGTAGGGATTGAATAAGCATGGATATATAATCAATATCGGGAAATATCAGGAACAAGCAACCAGCAATTTGCAGTGTTTCTCGCACATCTTTTCAAGCTAACGACACTACCTGGCTTGGTACCTTTTTTGGTGGCCCCAATAAATACTTCACCACCATTGCAAGCGATATGTCATCCACCAAACATGGGAAAACATGCGTATCTGTGTATGTGTATATATATAACGTATCGTATGTCGCTCATATGTGGTTGGTTCAATGAACTTAGTGTTTTGTAAAATCCCAAGTTGTGCTGGTTGAGTCATCTGGATATGTATATTATATATATATGTAAAATAGTGTATAATAACAATTAATGACCTGTGTTCTACGACTATGAAATGATGGTTCCAAACCATTCTTGCACAATCTTCAGCAATCTTTAAGGCCTGTTCCAAAGCAGAGATTCAGCACCTTGTTCCAAGCTGCAGCGGTGACCAAATTCATCAGACCAATCGACACCACCACCAAGATCGGAAGGAAGAAAACAACCAGGAAGGGCTGCCAGCGGGGACTTCTGAAGCTGGGTAATGTTCCCAATGATCATTGAAACATGATTGAACTCGAGACAGCCTACCTGTCACTGTAGGATCAGCATGTGGGGCTATTATCAATTATATATAATTATATATATAAATCATGCCAATTATAGCGGTATCCGCCATATTCCGCCATAATAAACCCCAAGTGAAATGGTATGATGGCTCGAGCACCCAATGGGCAAACAGAATTCCACACCCCACATCCATATTGTCCCCTCGGGGATTCTCGAATTTCCATGTCCCGGCACCCCTCAACCAGAAAGGCACCCACGATGCAGGATTTGATTTGCAGCCATCAGGTCTAGTAAATTGGATACAGGCATTCGATGGACTGTTTTAAGGTCACCATCAACATCCTTCAACCATCAACAATAATTTTGGGTTTACCAAGGGTATGCCGCATGCGCATTTTAATCACTTTACAATCATTACCTTCCACCAAAAGGGCCCACCATAGGATCCATAGATCGCGCCTTGGCAGTGATCAGCGGGTAGTAGACCGCAGAGATGGAGTCTAACGTCACAAACCTCGTCTCCAACTGGCCAACCACATGGCTTGTGTCTTACAAATGGCCAAAAATCGCCAACATACCAAATGCTTGACCAATTTCAGGTGTTTTACAAACGCTTTGCTGAACACATGGCCAACCTGCGTGCAAGGAAACAGTTTTTGTTTCAGACATAGTTTTTTTTACTCCGGCACAAATACCCCGGCTAAACTAAGAACAATCACCAAACTGAAATAATTTAATTTCATGGGATGGTTCCCTAAAGGCCACAAACTGAACATCGTTTATCCCAACGTCGCAGTGAGGTCGCAGTGAATTCGTTCTAGATCTATTGCTGTATAATATCTCCCTCATATTACGCTTTCAAAGTGCATTTGTTCAATGATTTCATCAGCATTCAAGAAGTACAAGGTAATATGACTGCAGAGCTACTGTAACATTCATCGTCACAGTCCATTCCTGCAGCGCAGGTCTTTTTCTGACGGTTTTGAGGCAAATCTAAGGTTCTGTATGAAGAAGTACAGTCTTCCAGAGTGGCCAAGTAGCGGCTGTTCAATCAAACATCCCGTGCGGGGAGTTGACTCTATGAACCAGCACCATTTCAAGCAATTAATGTTATATACGCCTTTCATCCCCCAAATTTCGGAAGACATTTCCATTTACTCATGTACCTCCATCGCCAGCCCTGTTCTCCGTGAACAATACTATTGAAATCAAAAACAAGAACTGTGGTAAACCTCCATGATATCACAAGCCCCAATGAAGAGATATAAAAACAATGTTTCTACTTCACCGGACCAGTTGGTTTTCCAAAGGAGTTACACATGGTTACAATTTGAAGTTTCACAAAATCAATGGGGATTCCCCCTTCTTCCACAGTCGCTGGCCCATTCCTCTTGCATCATGGCAGCTGCATCAACGTCATGATGGTCCTTCCCTTAGGTCCACGAGTGAAACGACGCGATCGGGAAACCACCATGAATCAAGGGGGACCGGACCAAAGCCATCTATCAAAATCACAAACAAAGGGAGAGCCTTCCAGTTCCTCGGGCGAGTAACTGCGCTTGAGGTCATTGGATATAAATCGTGCTGAAACAACCATTCAGTTTGTGCAAGTTTGCCTGATCCACAATGAGCAAGATCTGGTGTTCAGATTTTTTTGCGTTTGAAATTGAGATCATTGTACTATATAAATTGTTTAAAACAGCAATTCATTCACTTGGAGCGATAGTAAACAAATCCGTTCAATTGTTTGATCAAGGAAATCAAGCTCATGCATACCACGAGACTCACTCAAGTCGGGATTGTAAATCTACCAGAGATATTAACACAAATAATATACACAAATATGATCTATAATGATCCATGGAAAATCTCAATAGCACTCCCTATACTTTGAGACGGTGGACGTGTGAAGGAAACCTCCTAGGCCCTGGAGAGTGAACTAGCGTTTGTTAATCCAGCGACACGATGTTGAGATTTCAACTTAAGAAACACAGTGTCTTCTGCCCAACATGGAGTCATTGTCTCCCAGAGAAACGAGTTGAACCTCCCAAGAAGTTGGTAGCAACATCTCCAAGGCACTAGGCTGCTGAAGTGGTTCTCCACGATGTGTGCAACAATGACGTTATCCCCCTGCCATGAGATCCAGGGGATCCAAGGGGATCCAAGGGGATCCAAGGAGTACCAATGAACCACTGGTTGTTTGTTGTTTCTCAAGCATCCGTTGTGGAGGTCCGATTTTACATGTTCCAGTAACCAGTGGCTTTCTATGCCCACGAAATGGGTGAAAATCCCCACTTCTGATTGTATAAGATTTTCTTGCTGTCCCTCAGATATGGCTAATCAAATGCTAATCAAACCATCTGGTGGACCACACCACACATGGGAAGTCTACATTGTTTTGATGTTTTGGATGTTTCTGTTTCTCTAATTAAATTATGCTTGTAATACGTATGTGTTTGTACTAAACATGGCAAATCTTGGATGGCCCCCTCCAAGTTGACCAAGCTTTACCCAGCTGGTGGCAACTAGAAATGGCATGGGTGTGCTCACCCTGGTACCATACTGTTCAAACCAAAGTAGCTGGTAGATATTGAAGTTTCTCCGTGTCTGCCACGTCCCCATATCACCATATTATGTCCAACATCGTTCAACCATGTTCCTCGAATTCTCGTGCCTGCCGGAGGTCATCGTCACGAGCGATCAGCTCAATGGCAACGCACGCAAAGACGAAGAGCGAGACCAAAATCAAAGCCTCAGTGGCTTAACATGGCTGAAATCTATGGTTTATGGTAGATATAACTATAGATAACATTAGATAACTATACTTTCCATGGGGGTTATTAGCTATACTTAATGTTTTTTTTTCAAATGTTATAAACCAACCGTACACAGTATCTGGGGGGCCCCATCCTGTAGGGATCATTTGAGATATTGTAAGCTTTTTTTCGTAGGGCAATCGCTAAATATGGAGGTGTCCAACTACGGTAAAACCCAGTGAATATATATATACCCTAGGCGTCAACCACCTTATTAAAAACCGTGGTTGCACAACCACTATTTTATAGAGAAAACCACTGTTTTCCACCTTGTCCCGCCAATGCCTCAGGTGCAGTCAGACGCATTGTGTTGGCTCAGGGGCCGCAGCGGCCAAACTAAATGGTAATGGTTGTATATATATATATATATATTATAATATATATATATACTATATAAAGATACTAGTCAGGGTAACATCAAACGTTTGGAAACAATGCAGTTGCCATATTGGTGAAAGCCACGATAGTGCCCCAATACAATGGGCCCACAAATTCCCTCAAAATCTTTCAACATTACTAGAATCCTAGAGTAGATCGCGGGGCACATGGCTGGCCACTTGATTTCCAATGGACTGGGATATGTCTGGGGCTCAATGAACTGCAATGTTTCAAAGGTTTGAGTTTATTTGGTGCCAAATCTATTTTGTTTTTTTTTGGGGTTGAGGTCAAAATCCTTGGATGAAGAAAGCGCTACGACGTCGCCAGCCACTTAGTTACCATCCTTAATACCTCAATAAAGCAAAAACCATTGTTTCTGAAGGGAAACCTATACTCATTAAATATCATTATATAATATCCAACTGCTCACCCCAAATCACCAAAGGTGCCCTGGAGAAGTATGAAGAGGACTTGGCCGAAGGTTCGCCCACCGCCCCTGTGTCACCTGTGGCCTTTGTTGATCCTGTACGTACTATGAATGTGAACATAACATGTTAAGTTAACGTCCAAATTTGCTTTGTTTTCTAATATCATCTTGATCCATTGCGGCCCCTTGGTCCAGATCCACCCAGCGGCGTTTTTACCGTTTTGGGGTGCTGCCACCATGTCGCAGCTACCCCGGAAAAGCGCTGAGCAAATCGCTTTGCTCAAGGACTTACCTGATCAAGCCTTCACATATTGTTCAGGTGGAACAAGAAGAACATAGCTTTTATGTTGGAAATCTCTTATTTTTATAAAATAAAGTATGGACCCATTCGTTCAGCGATCCAGGATTTCCTTGCTGAATTCTGCGCTGACGACGATTGGGCTCATCATAGGCGGAAAGCCTTGAAACGCCAGATGGGCAGGACTAGCAAGGTTCCCTTCTCAACCCATGTTGTGCACAGATCTGGTTAATTCAACCAACAAAGCATAGTTATGATACCCCATGATCGTGTCATCTAGATATAGCTGGATGGCTAACATGACCTGTTGATTGAGGTACCTCCAAGATTTACCTTCCTCAACCGCCTCGAAACCGGTGAGTACATAAAGGAAGCAGAGGCTGAACATATTGCAAAAGTAGCCCATTTAGATTTGGTTTTGCAACAAATAGCGCAGTCTCCAGGGTAGCTGTGAATTATTTTGGTGCAGGTGGAAGACCCTGCCAATGCGAATTACCTGATTCAGTTTTTCGCATCTTTTGCCGACCAGCTGCCGAGCAATGCAGAGTTTAAGGACAGCATCCTGCATTTGACCATTTCCTGACCCTTGAAACCACAGAAGGTGCTGTTATTCAGTAGCTCAGTTGGAACATATATGGATCGATTTGCAGCTTTCAAAAAAAATAATACTGTACTGGATTTCAAAGGATTATAGATTCAATTCCTGTTTGGGTTCGACTCAATTTTCAATGATTTACTTCAGGAAGCTCTGGCTTGGGCATCCTTCCACCTCGGGCTGAACCCGCACCTGAATGGATCTCACCTTCACATGGTTTCAGTCTCAGATAGCTAATTGTGAAGCACCTATCCAACATCTATCACTGGACGACTATTCGTATGGTATGTGATGTGGCTTTAAAACAGGTCTTGAACAATATGATTATGATTTTAGAGTCAAATTTTCTGATCCCATGTGAGGTGAGGTTTCCAGATCCCTTGCACTTTCTGCTATCGAGGCCTGGGCGGAATCAGAAGTGCCAGTGCATAGGAGCTTCATCTCCTATTGCATGGACCGCTTTCAAAGGAACCCAAAGTCCAGGAGTGGGGTTTTGGTAGTATGGGAGAAGATTCCACCAGCTGTAATTATAGGCAGTCCACTGGGCTGCACATATTCATCACCAATGATTTTTTCAAACACGATGAACTTCATTGGAAATATAATCACTACATGAGTTCTATTTGGGGAAGAATGAGTGATTACAATCACAAATATAATAATATTATAAATTTAGCATGATCAACATTTTGCTTTTCCAGGAGCAATTCGAAAAGGATGTCTGAAATCAAGACGATGATACAGATCAAACTGAAGGCTTGAGGATTGGGGAAGTGGCTGCCTGGTTTGCCCGAATATATCCCAATTATCCAATATATTCAATATAATACCTAAATTATATATATATACTATGATGTAGCCCCATTTTGGATGTTGATCAGTGTCGATGGGTCTGTCAAAAAATGCATGCATGATCCATGCATGCGCAACGTGTCCCACAATGTGTGTGTATTTCCATGCACCTCATGTGAAGGAGGCGGGCCTACTGACAAAGAAAGGGAAGAAGATCGCGTCAAGAGGGCCATCAGCATCTGCATCCAAAGCAGGTGCCTAAACATGCATGATATGATAATAAAGGGATGATGTGGGGTCAGTCTGGCAAGGGACATTTTTCGCTTCCCCTTGAAGGTCCAAAAAATGAAAAGGGTCCAAGATGGATATTTTGAATACTTATAGAACGTATCCATGATATCGATTAGGTGTATATACCTCTAAAGTGCTTCCACCACTCCGCTGGCAAAACTAGATTGCCATGCGCGCATGCAGGACCAAAGAAGCCAGAGGAGAAAGCTGAGGATGAAGAACAGGTAACGCCTACTGAGCTCGAAGTGAGTGATGGAGAAGAAGAGGAGGACTATCCTGAGGGTGACGACGACAGCGATTGTGAGGAGAGCAAAGGCGAAGTACAGGTTGAAGGCTCAGATTTGGAAGTGGAGAAGGAGAGTCCTGTTTCGGATGAGGAGATCACCGGACCTGTTTCCACGCACCCAGATCAAGTTGAGACCCTTCCCATGGAGGAATTCGTGGAGTCATTCTGGCGACTGGAGGTGGAGGAAACAGATCAGACAGAAGAGAAAACGGAAGAAAAAACGATAGCCAGTCACCAGTGAAGACCAAAGAGGAAGAGCCACTGAAGGCTAAGACAGAAACGAAGGAACGGATGGCAGCAGCCACGAATGAGAAAGAAACAGACAAGACTGAGGCCAAGAAGACTGCACACAAAATGAAAAAGACCCGGGAGGCGGACACCAAGGAACAAGAGCTGACGCCAGAACCGGCAAATGTCAAAAGCAAGGAGTCGAAGAGAACGAATGGTGGTGAAAATTTGACAAGTAAGGGTTTGGAGGAGGTGGAAGCACCGTATGTGGAAGACCTGGTGAGTGACGAAGATAAAGCAGAGCAGGAGGAAACCCGAGGAGCTTTCAAGGACTGTCATGAGATTGGATAGACGTCACCCTCGAACATACACAGACCTAGATCTATGATGTGACAATGGTGTAGCTTGTCAAGTTCGCTTTCATGATATAAAATACTACAGCATATACTGATCTGATATATCTGATTACAATTTAAGCTTTTTATAGCTATATATAGGGATGTCCTCCACACCTGACCAGGACCGAAAGCCTTTGACAGAAGAACCTCTTCACGACAACAACCTTAAGGATCAAGCCCAGGACTTCATGGACAAAGGAGAAGGTTTGAACACTATGGATGATATCTTGGAGGCTTCATGTGAGTGAGTCAAAGTACAAACCAGTGTGAGCACTTATGTCTGATCCCAAGAATTACGTATACATTCATGTCTGGAGCAAACAGCCACCAATAAAGATGATCCGTAATATATATAGATGATCTGTATAGTGTACCCAGTGTAGTCGTTATATACCATAATAATCATATCCCATACCACACATCTTCCCGTCAGGCCCAACGAGTGATGAGGAAAGCTGCACGAGAAGATGAGGCAGAAGCAGAAGACATAGACAAGTTCACACGTGAACAGGACGAACTCTCTGAGGGAGGTAAGAGAGGAAGAGGCAGAGGACGAGGGAAAGGGAAAGGGAAAGGCAAAGGAAGAGGTAAAGGGCGTGGTGGACGTGGTGAAACTGCAGGGCGTAGCAGGGGACGTGGAGCAAAGATCAAGGATGACGAGGAGAAGAATCCAGAAGAGAAGCTGCCAGAAGAGCTACCAGCCGAAAAAGAGATTGAAGAACCGGGGGGCAAGAGCAAGAAGAGGCCTAGAACCCCAGTGCGTTCGCCATCCCAGGCAAGGCTGCAAATCATCCAGAGGATGAAAGCTGCCAGATCTGAAAGAGACCTGGACACCCCAGGTGAACGTGCCAAGAGAAGCTTGGATTCAGCTTTCGCTGAGGCCGGCAAGGGGCAGCTTGATAAAAAGCCTAGAACCAGAGAGCCAGCAACCAAAAGGCAAGGCAGTGCTTCGAAGGTTGAAGAAAAAAGGACAGATCAAGACAAGCCGAAGGCTGAGGAAAAAGGGAAAAATGAAGACCAGAAGCCAGAAGGTGAGGAGCTGAAGCCGAAGAAGCCGAAAACGCCAAAGAAGCCAAAGAGCAAAGCTGCACCAAAGGAACCAACGTCTCCAGGGAAGTTGAAGAAGAAGCTGGAGAGAGGGGGGGGTTATGCAGTATGAGGCAATTACGAGTATATGTCCAATATCAGTGTAGGATGAAACTACTAAGTATGTAATATGTGCATGCATGCATGAACATTTGTATGAGATGTTTTGAATAAAAATGGTAGCATCTGGCTTTTGTAAATCAACCATGGGGTATTTTCATATTGAAGTGGCCCTGGCACCAATCAGAAAAGAATAATTAAACTCGTCCTTCCATTGCTGCAATGAAGATGCCGCTTTTCAAACCAGAATTGACGATCTTTTGGTTGTATGCCCCAAATTTCGTACTATAAACGATGATAAAAGTTTAGCTTCCATGATAATGTTCACCAGTTTTCCCCATCCTCATACGAGCACAAAATTTTTGTTGGGTCCTATGTATGCAGGCCATCATTTATTCAGGAACCACTTGCTGTTGCCAGCATTGTTGTGGGGAATTTGTGGGCCACCATTTTTAGACACCGGTTTCAAACCACCATGTACTAGAGGGCATGATTCAAAATCATGATTTCCCAACTTGTTTTCAAAAGACATTCATTCCCACAGTTTTGAGACATCCTTTTTTGAGGTCCCTTGGTATCGACAATATAAACATTGTGGTGCCCATTATTGCAGGTGCCAAGCCAACCAATCCTTGTCCATCAGGATGCTGGGAGGAAAGAAGTTCAAGACGTCCTGGCCGTTGACGGGCAGTGCAAAGTCTTGTTGTTATTGCTGACCAACGACCAGAAGCCATATGGCTTAGCTACCGGTGGGGGAGGTGAACCACTTGCAAAATTAACCCTGATGTTTGGTGAAAGAACATTTCCCAAAAAAGAAATTCTATTCTATACGATTTCAACTACTAGACGTTTGGGTTCGATTATTGTGGGGGATAAAGGGTTCTGATCCTAAGAACAACATGAACAGGCTATATAGCCGGTGCAGGATTTCAAATGATGCCAACCGTTAATCATGATAATTTGTTGCAACTACTACTGTATGGTTATCAACATTCATATGCCCCTAGCCTACGCTGTCCTGACCGCCTAGGTCCTACAGCTTCCGGGCCCCAGATACCTTGGAAGATTCGGCCATCAATGAAGATGGGAAGTTACCGTCGATTGCACCAGCGTGGGGCCCTTGGGTATGGATATCGGCACTGAACCAATGAATGTATCTAAAACTGGGGTGCCTTCAAATGCCTATTTGATGGGGAATCAAAGGATTATTCACTGAGTTTTTGGGCGCCCAAGCTTCAAGTATCTCGCGGTCTGTCGATAAGTATATACAATATATCGATCGATCTATTTATTGTAAAAAGTGGTGACCAATTTTTGTCCAGCAAAGCTCCTCAAATCTTTTTACCAGAATATGCTTGATATCTTGATTGATCAAACTAGTCTTGATTGTCCCATTGCTGGAGGTTCGATCGCCGGAGCTTCTATGTCTGCCCTGTCAACCTCAAGAGGTTGGACCTGGTGAACAAGCATTCCAACACTACTTTCCATGTGACTTGGGGTCAAATCAAGTTGTAAATATCGTGTATTAAGAAACAGTAGATGCCTATTCAAACCATCATCAAAATTGAAACAAACATTTGCATCTTAGGCGAACAATCAGCATGGCATGTCCATTGGCTGGACCAAACATGGAGGTGTGGCAAAAGCGTTCGAAACTCAATCATATGTAAAATGTCGACCAATGGTACGTGATTTGTTTATGACAGATTTTTCTGGTGAATTCAAAACCTGGACCAAGTTGGGAATATGCCAAGCTCATCGCGGGCTGGCACAAAACTTACGGTGCCTAGCGATGTGGACTGAGCTTGGGCTGGGTGGCAGTAGAGCAGTTTTTACATATGTGGCTGTGGTGCCTCTGACCCCTTGAAAAATATGACATATATATAGTCATGGTATGTATGCAACATGTTCAATTATCATCTTCTAGAATTGAACTTAATATGTGTAACATAAATTGTTCTGCTTCCATATAAATCCATTAATTAGATTTCATTTATTTTCCTGTGGATGTTTGGGGATGCTAGTGGCACCACCACTCCATATGACCACTCCGGGGGATCTGACACCCCGTGTGCTCCTCAGCGCATGGATGGGGTGTGGCTAAGAGCCTGTCCTGCCATTGGAGGCAGGATCTCTGTTGGCAATTGGGATGTGGAAAAGGTTGCTGGTATGATCACTGCATGCATGGCACGCATTTGAACATTGCATAGATGCACTGGAAACTCATTCTAGTAGAATCGAACAGACAAATCTAGACATCATTGTCCTTTTTTCGTGCAGCTGTTTGGACATCGATCAACCAAGCAGTACCAAATATGGTGGCCACAATTTCCTTGTCCAGAAGGGCTGCACAAGCCCTTTTATTTTTTGGTTTGCCCGTACTCCTGCTACTTGTTTGCACCACAATTTGCATACTTTTAAGATCATATAGGATACAACTGTTCCTCGTTGTGTCTGAATTGGGTGCATTTACAATTTGGTTGGGTCCGGTGACCTCTAGAATGTGCTAACTCGAACTAAGGTTGCATTGTTGCGACTATGTGTGTGAACAAGTGGAGGGGACGTATATGGACCAGCGTGTTTGAACCTCAGAGTATTGAAAACTTGGTTATATAATCAAGATATTATTATTATTGTTATAAATATTATATTATATTATGTCAAAAGTCGCAATCTGTGAAAACGGCCAGGTTATTTCCTTTTCTATTGCCCAGGACACTGAAGTCATGGACTTGTTTTCGGGGAAGCAGTCCGTTTCCAAGGGATTTGGTGCAAACCTTATGGGTGTAATGCTCTTGATTGAAGTGTGTTTATTTATGCGCATGCTTTTACAATATATTGATGGTTTTAAAGGAATGGTCTTTATGGTGCTTAGGCAAAGAACGAATGAAGGCGTTCTAACCTCAGAGTCCAATTTTGGATGATCTGGAATGCAAAAATAAAAAACGTATCGATCAATATATCTATTTATTTATATAATATATTAGAAAATCATACCTGAACATTGTTTGAGGGTCCCTTCGCACACTATTTAGGAATAGCCCAAAAAGCTTTCCGAGGTCCTGCTTCGATAAAGAATTTCAGGGAGATGCTGGAGATATAACTTCAGTGTTGGGGCCTGAAATTTAAGGAGTTGAGCTTTTTAAGTCCCATATGGCCTTGCTAGCCCCAGCTAGTCCAACCTGGTCCCAGGCAAGGCTTTCTGCGGAGCATCCTGTTAACTTTGAAGTTACAGGAGCGAGGTCTTCAAAGTTGCGGACCCCCATGTGGGAGTTTTGTATTTGTCAATATCCACACATCTGGTAGACGAGCATTTCGTCCATTCGGATGGGCATCTCTTCGGGAATATGTTCGTGTAGCAAACGTGAATCTTGGAAATTGAACATGGTTTTCGTTGATTGAAATTGATATCACATGTTTGGTGTAGCTTAATTAGTAATAGTAGTGTAGGGTTTGACACTTATTCACATGAAAATTCATCATGTACATGCATGATCTAAGGATCACTACTCGAATGGTCATGCTATGGTTCATTGCGACAGTGAGATACTGCTACATGGTGGCAGAGCAGCCTCAAAGCAGTCTAATGACTGTATTCCCATACATCGTCTTCTTTCAGAAACTGATTTCGAAGTTTATCCCTTGGCAGCTGGTCAGATTGCCAGGGGCTCATTTGGTTAGGTTCAGCCATTGCGCTTACAAACAGAATTGCCTGATTTTCTCAATATTTTCAAACATATCTCTGCAATCTGGGCTGAGTAACATGGCGGTTTATGGATCGCCTACATTGAAGCCAACAAAGTTATTTGGGACTTGGTTGGGGCCTGAGATCCATTGATTATCATGATGGCTAATCAGTAAGATTCGAAACTTGATGCTCCACTGCAGTGAAAACATCAGTCAGTCATGATGGCAGTTCAGCAAGTGGAAAAATAATGATATATGTTTATATGACAAATGTACGTTTCTGTCAACTGGTTAACCTTGCAACATGGTACAATGGACCCACCATGTGGAGGATATGAAATTCCACAACCACCAAATAAATTATATTGATCCCTATTCTAGAGTACTCACCCCCACCTCACCATGGTCCTGGTAAGGCCCTGTACTGGACAGATGGTGAAGAAGACCTCAAAACGCTTGCGGGCGAAGCTGAAAGCCAAGAAGGGGCAATCAAAGACACCGATGGTAAAGGTCACCATTTCCAAATCTAGTGGCAAAAAGCAAGTGCCATTACCTCAGCATTGCATCAATCGAGTATTGTGAAAGATGAAGTCGGTTCCTTTCATTTCGAATGATTGTTTTTGATGCTTTACACATGCATTATATACTGATCATCTTCTACAAGCCTAGGACTGGCGCAGCCGGATTGAAGAAGTCACAAGTGTACCCAAGCAAGTATGGACTTGCAATGGCAAAACACCACAAGAACTTCATATTTGCCATGATCTCAGATACTAGACATACCAAACGTTGCCAATAATCATTATTCATTGAGATAGTCATGCCAGACACACCCTTTCTTTCCTGGCGAGCACTGGGCCACCGAACAGGCCGGTGTAGAGTATCGTGAAGATGATCTCCGTTCAGCACTCCAAGATCTGGACCTTGAACATGGCAAAGTCCACAAGGCCGGGTGGAGGATTTGGGGGAGGGCAAATTCCAGTGTCAAATATATATCAGCAAAACTCTGAAAAAAAAACATACTGTGCCATTGATTTGCTGTTGATGCTGGCCGGGCCACTGTGCATGGAGGCCCCGTACAATTGGCGCCATGCATCCCTTGGTGATGTCAAAGCTTTTTTGGAGTCAGAGGTGAGGGCCAACAGGTTTCACCCTCGATTTCAAGGGGGACTTGATCTGTGAAATTTGATCATGAAGGATCCCCAATCTAATTTGATAATTCGACGTCTTCGACTTGACGTGTCTCTAAATGGCAGCATTTGCAACACCAGCTTTTGGAAAAGACATCCAAAGCCAGATAAAACATCTCAAATTGGAAGATGTCTCCATAACATCCCATAACTAAATCGCAGTCGGTTGTTCCTTTCTTGGATGTCCCAATCCCTATCAAAGTTGGTTTTGCTGCAAAAAAAGAAATTCAGAATCTGCGTCTAGAAAATCCAGGGCCACGACTGTCACTCCACATAGCAATGGTGCCTGTCGGATGTCACATTGGTCGCTTACATGCTAGCTAGGATGATCGCAGGGGGGTCTGATTGGTGCGTGATTGGCGCGTGATTTAGCGTGATTGGTGCGTGAACCACCGTTTTTTAGCGTGAACCACCGTTTTTTAGCGTGAACCACGGTTTCCCAAAAAAATGAATATTTTTGATGTTTTTCCTGTTTTGTAGCTTGACCATGAATAAATCGTAAAAGAAAAGAAAGCACCACCGTTCTAAGCCACTGCGGATCACAGTTGCCCAATGGTTTCAGAAACTGTGCAAAAGGCATTGGCCAAGGCGGCCCAAAGGGCAGCTCGTAGGGCTGAGGCTGATGCAGGTTTAGGAGGAGAGGATGATACCCCGAACTACCCCAACAAGAAGTTGAGTGAAGCCTTGGAGAATGCAAAGGAAGCGTCAAGGCAGGGCACACGCCACCACGGTATCGAGTAGGTATTTTTCAAAGCTGGTGCAACATATGCACATCCATGCAGAGTTTATACATAGAAATGCCTATATTTTCTGATCTGAGGGATTTATATATAATTAGGAACTATGTCATCGAGGTAAGATGGTGTGTACTATGTTTGACGAGTCGGGCATGTATCCAGCACCGTGCCAGGACAGCTCTGTCCAATCCTGCAACAACTGCAGCTCTGGAAGGTCGTGTTCAGGAGGCAAAGCTTGCCCGAGGTGCTTCTTCAGGGGGGTGGTACAGCTGAGATTGTAGAAATGAAATTGTTGTGAATCATTGTCCAACACTCTGCAAAAAGTGTCTTGCAATATTCTGGAACGCTCTTCAAAGTTTGGTTAAAGTTAAGATTCCTGTCCTCCCAAAATTTGAGATGTTCAACGATTAGAATCTATCTGATCTTAGGTTCATACACCGGATCTACTTGTTCACAAACCTTTTATTATTAGCCTGGTATCTCTTTTGTTCTCCAGGTCTGATCAACACATGAATTATCAGGACAGTGACCGATCCATTGATCAAATCAGATTTTATTGTTATATTATATGCGTATCAAATGATCCATAATATGGCTAGTTGATGCGCAGGGCCTTCTTTTCTTATATTCCTGGGTAAATATACCTCTGGAATTGGTCTTCAAGATTATTGCGCAGGAGCCAGTGCTACCAGTACTGCTTCTACGGTCCCGGCCAGTTCCAGGGCAGTGAAAAGAAGCAAAAGACCCAGTGGAGGTGGAGACTCTGAGGTATCTCCAGCAATCAAGACCCCTACTGCCAAGACTAGACGTGTCAACACTGAGACCCAAGGTGAATCAGCCCCGAAACAGCCACGCTGTGTGAAGGACGAGGATACGAAGACCCGACGCCCACGCTCCCCCACGGTCCACTACAGCCCTGATGGAAAACAACCTGAAGAACCTGAGGAACTTGAGGAATCTGAGGAACTTGAGGAACACGTGGAACCTGAGGAACCTGCTAATGAGGAACCTGGGGAAGAGATGCCTGAGAGACCTGCAGCATCCAAGCGGTCAAAGTTGACTGCTGTGAAAGCTCAGGCCAAGAAGAAGCAGAACAAGAACAAAGGATCACCGGTTCAGCCTAAGACTAGTGCCCGCCCAACGCCCAAGGCTAAGTCTAGCGCTCAGAGTGCTCAGAGCCCAAAGTTGAGACCCCTTCAGGAGAGACTGCCTTGGCTGTTCAGCAGGCTTTGGCTAGGGGGACTACTGCTGATCTTGGGTCGTCCAAAAAGACCCGCACCACAGCCCATGCCAGATCCAAGTCGGCCTCATCGTCTGATGATGAGGGCTCAGCAAGTGCAGCTGCTGCTGAAGGTCCTGACGAGAATGACACTGAGCTGACGCTCGAGCAAGTGCGTGCCCAAAAGGCTGCACGAGCCAGGTACATGAGGTTCAGTCGATCATTCAAGTCAAAGCGTTACATGTCAGCACTTATACCAATCGATATTTGATGCGTTGGTTAAAAGTAATATGCCAAGACGTGTCAATCAAACATGTTCAATTTCTCGTCGGGCACACATGCGAAATGATCGTCAACATTCTTATGGCTCTGGAATCTGGAAGGAGGCATATATTGATTTTCAGTCTACATTCTCCCCCACCCCATTCCTTATATCACAAGATATATGCATGCATGTTTTTCATATGATGTATATATCAACTGAGGTTGCCCAAAGGAGCTGAAGCTCGCGCATGCGAATGCAAAGCGATGCTGCTTGGCTCTGATTGTTCGATACAGGCCTGTTCAGTGGAGGCCCTTGATTGCATAGATATACATACCCTATAGCTATATATTAAATATACCCCCTAAAGGGGATCATAGTGAGTGGCCAGCATATCGGCTATGTACAATATAAACAGCTGTTGCAGTGAGAAACTTCTGGTGCTCTACAAGAAGACCTCAAAAGGAATGGATTCAGACTAGAGTCTGTGGTAGATTAGCGAATTAAGGCAAAGTGATTTAAAAATGGGGGTTCATCCCACTTATGAACCAAGACTTAGGCTCGGAGAAGCTCCAAGTCTTGTATGAGCAGTGGATCTCTTGCGAGGGCCACTGGACTGAGTCGAGCTTGTACAAGCAGCTGAGGGTGACGGTTCGCAACCGGAAGACTGGAGCCAGGAAGTCGTTGACAGAGCCTGAACTATGCGTCAAATATGGCAGTGCCAGAGTGGCCGCGCGCATAGCTCAGGCCAAAAGAAACGACCCAAAATGCCAGCACCAAATAAGGGACCACCCAGACTGCCCAGGCGACCCAGACTCTAGTCTGAATCCAGTTCTTTTAAGGCCTTCACAACTTACCCACCTATAGAGCACCAGAAGTTTCTCACTGCAACAGCTAGCTGTTTACAGTGCATGAACTGGATACCTAGGTCGGAAAAATGTTGACAATTGGTTCGTGTATCAGATATTTATCAGTTACCAATTACCCAGGACACAACAATTCCTTTGGTCTGTGTACTCAGCTCATGCTCAGGAACTTTACCAATACCTCGTATGGGATGTCGATGCCGAGGAGGACGTCACTGACCATGTCACCAATGACTTTTTCGAAGCCATTGACAAGGACCAGGGAGGATCGGCAGGCAAGTCAGACAAAAAGAAAAAGAAGTCGTCAAAGAAGAAGAAGAAGAAGTCAACAAGTTCGGACTCCTCGGAGGAATCTGATGATAGCTCTTCGACGTCGGATCCATGGATTAAAATTATGTTTCCATATGTAGGTGGCAACTGGCCAATTCCAAGTAACTCTCCATCTTACACTACGTAGACCAATTAGTATTGCTTGCTACATTGGCTGTGCTTCATCGTCAACCATCCCCATCTCGTTAGCATGTGCCAGAGTGTGCATGAATTCATGCGATGCAGTTAGGAAAAGAAGAAAAAAAAGAAGGGAAAGAAGGGCAAGAAGGAGTTGAAGAAGAGAAAGAGTTCGTCGTCAGAGGGCTCGGACTCGGACAAAAAGAAAAATACGAAGAAGGCCAAGGACGACAAGGAGAAAAAGGAAACGCCTGAGCAGAAAGCGAAGCGTGAACAGAAGGAGCAAGAGGCAAAGGCGAAGGAAGTGAAAAAGAAAATCATCAGTGACGCGAACAAGGCAAATTTGGGGGGACTGTCCTACCAATCTTCACGATACATACACACCTCAAAAAATACAACATCTCAGAATCATCAACAGTGTCCACATCTAAGAGATACCTACCAAGCCAATGTATTTTTTTTGGGTGTGCCAACATTACTACTAATAATTAGTATATGATGTATATTATATAATATATTATTTAATATATAGTATAGCTAAATAATATATAATAATTATATAATATTATGTGTTTGAAAAAAACACTCTGCTATACTTTGTGCCAGGTTGTGGGCAAGCTCACCACTGCCCTTGGAAAGGCGGCCTTGGTCCAGACCAAAGCAGACAGCATGCCACGGCCTCAGGTCCGTGGCAATTACTCGTTTTCAAACAGGTTGACATGGCATGGGGGCCAAAGGACTTGCAAATCAGTAAATCCACATACTGGTATGTTTTTGTTTTAATTAAAAGCCTTTATCATTTGGATGTCAATTTTACAATACAACTTTTGAGCTATTCATTTTTTTTGGTACTCGTTTGGCTTATAGTAGACCCCATGGTTGGTCCAGCTCATATTCAAAGATTATTATTTCTCCTGTAAATTCCCATTTGAGGTAGGATGTTCGTTGCAACAATTATATCATTACTATCAACATTGCTGGTTGAAAACAACATAGCATAAAATCTATTATCGATATCATGATATAATCGATATTTTTCATGATCATGTGTCCAGCCAATGAACCCTGGTTTCAATTTCTCTGAAGTAACCCATTTTCACACTGCAGCATTTCCTCAAAAGTTTTGAGCTTCCAAACGGCTCAGGTCGCCCGCCCTGAAGAATGTCTTCCTGCAAGAGCTGAATCCCCACAAGAAAATGCTGGGGAAACGACGTGACCAATTGCAGAAAGTGGTTGATGCCGCAAAGGCAGGGTTGGTACACTGGCCAGTTGTAAAAGAATAGATCCATGGATTCTTTGTACCATCGATGCTGCTGTACAATGTTTAGATGGTATATTTCATGGCAAATTTATGGTATGTTTGTTGCAGCTGCTAGTGCGCTAGTGGACGAGCATCTACAGTAAGTAAGTAGTATTGATAAAATCAAATCGTAAAGAGAAGCTGAGTGCCTAGGATTAAAGAGTAATTATCGAATTCAAGGCAATTATGGCAGTATCGACCGATCTCTCTGTGGGCCTTGGTTTTTGTCGACTGAACCAGCTTGTCAGGGTGGTGGCGATGTCGCAGATCTTGCCCAGCCTCAGACTGATGGCGAAGAAGCAGTGAAGAATTTCAGTGACTTTTTGGTCCAAAGTAACATGAAGTAGTTCGGCTGTGATGTTGCCTAATTTTGGCGATAAATACCTTAGAACCTGGTTGTGGTAACACTGGCGAAGACTGTGTGTTATCTTAGGGTGCCGGGGATGGTGTTGAGCCAAGGGCTTGGGAAGTGCAGGGGTTCGATGGGGCACCCAATACAAACTAGTGTGAAACGTTTTCAATAGAAACCATCCCAAAATGCCAATCAATCTTCATTATTTGTTGGCCATAGATGGGGTGTCCTGCAAAACGTCCTGCTGAATTTTGAACATCACCGAGTCGACCCCTGAAGGGACATGTGCGTTTTGGCTAATTGCCATGGATTCCAGCTGCCTCTGGTTGACACAGAGAGCACCGAAAGGTAAGAGGGAAAACTCAGTGCACTTGATAAGCTGCTATGCTTTGGTGATTTTGGTGTGCATTCAACATTTTTTTGACAAGCCATCAGCAACCCTTGCAACATTCATTGCATGGGAGCGCTTGGGATTCAGTATCTCTATGCTAGCTATTCACCCCTCCCACGCAGGAAACGTGTCATCCCATTCGGGTAACAACTTGGTGATCCAGAATGCAATTGAAGACGTGAGTTCAGGAGTGTCTTGGCTGGTGATTTACGTGCTGATACTAACATCAGTGGGGTGGACTGTCTTTTGTTTCTCACCATTGCAAAGGTAAGCATAGCTTGTGCAACACTTCCCAATGTTGAAAATGGTGAGACAATCAACCCAAAGACCAAAATTTATCATCTGTATATTATAATATTATTAAACAACTAGTGCCCCCATATTTTTAACCTCTGTCCACCGGCCCACCCCATGAACAAAACCGGCTCTGAGGCAAGCAGCGTGTACCGGTCGATGAAAAGAATTCGGTCTCATTTGGAGGTGCCTTGCATGCAAGCCAGCCCCTGGTGCCAACTACATCCACAAGATCATGCCAGCTGGATATATATATATATATATTATATAATAACATTTAGATCTCTATTTTAATTATTAGATATATTATATACATGTCTACTTATACTTGCTGCTTGTTGCATAATTTTGATGGATCAAGAACATACAATGGCCCACAAAATAGATATGTATGACTTCATAAAGGGGTACGAGGCCTTGGTCTCTTCATAATGGTGGCCCTTTCTTCAGGAGAGTGGACCGGAACATGTTCATGCTGAAACTGCGAAGCTTGGGAGATTGTGCCCTGGAAATGAAACACGAGACTGGTGGAGAGCTCATAAAATACCTGTAGTGTCTTGGTTAGGCATTGAGTGAAATATACTTTCTTGTTTGTCCCCAATTATGGATTTATTATTTAATTTCCAAAAAATATATAATATGCTGTACATTCTTTTGCCATGGCCCATGGCAGTATGATGTCGAAGCAAGGAACTTGAATACATATGGGTCCCAGTTTCTGACGAAAAAGTGCCGCATGGCTACAGGATTGAGAAGCAGCCTATATTGTTTCCCCACCGCATCATTGGATACCTATTCAACGAGTGTGGTCTTGATATCCCAGAGGCAGCCATTCAACAATTCTGGGACAATGCAATAGCTGATGGAGAGACATATGCCAGTCATGATTCGAGAAACCGTATACCGTTGGGCTTCTATGGAGATGCAGCTCAACTGATCACAAAGGTTCGCATCGATAAATTGATATGCTTCTTCTGCAACATCGTTATTTTTCGACCGAAATCGATACGGTATTCAAGGTTCCTGTTATGGTCTTGTGACACCTCACTGCTTTACAAAAATCGGACGGCAAATACCATATTGCGGTGGCTGGTTTGGTCCTTCAATGCCCTGTATGAGGGAATATATCCTGTTGCCCGACCAGGAAACAGACCACTGGAGGCTCATGAGAGGAAACTTGCTGGCCAATGGTTGACCCACAGAAGACATCTATTCCAAGTTGTCGAACTTCGTGGAGATTGGGAATTCCATAAGTTGATTTGGCAATTCAAATGCTCCTGGAAAGGTGGTGTCAATGTGGGAATTTGCTATCGTTGTCCGGCTATGGGCCGGTGTGATGATGCCGACTTACTTTATTGGAATATGGATGATGAAAACAGTTCATGGGCAAGACAAGAGTTTAATACCACAGACTACCTTGCCAAAAGGCTTCCCGCAAACAATATATGAACCTCGGTCTTACTATTCTTATTAGTGTTGTCTTTTTTTTGGGGGGCACCATGGGTAAACCGCCCAACCACCAAAGCCCAAACCACTTTTGGGACTACTCCACCATTATTACCATGAGAACAAAGTATGGGATGTGCAGCCATCAACACAAGTGAATTTGTTTGGTCCTCTCAAAAAATCCCAAACCTGTCATAGGGGTCCCTGGCTATGTGAGGTCCTTTGCTTCGATTGCAGAAGTTCGACGTCTCGTGCATCAAATTTTGCGTGATGCATGTTCTGAATTTAGGCTTGCTGATGAGTTTGAACGGAGGGGCCCTGACCCTTAGCTGAACCCAAGTTGTTTCTGCCCAGGTACAGTGGCAGGTCTTGTTGCATTGCCAATCATTGCCACGTACCAGCACCATGTGACTTCAATTAAGACGATGTTACACCAAAAAATAAGGTTTTTCGTGGTGTCTCATCGCCTCAATTGAAGTCACTATAGTGCGTGCATGTCCTGCCAAGAAAAGGGGATATATCAAAGGGATTCATGGATATTTTCTTGTAAGGATGCAATGGAACCGATTTGGAAATTCAACATGCCCCTGATTTTGAGATTCATTTGGATCAGGACAATGCTTTGTGAAGAGTTGGAATACTGGGGACCTGGATCGTTCCAACAACAATTGGACAAAGCCTACCAAGATTTTGTTGCTTTTTGCCGGGCACGCAAGCTGGACCAGTCTCAGCCGCCTTTCAAAGAGTCAAAAGCCCCTCGGTTTAAATTTATTGTTTATATACCTGCCAGGCCTGGTTATACTGAACCACCTTGGTTTTGGATATATTAGCAACCCCATGCGACCCTTTAAATTTGACATTGTGTTTTAAAAAAACATTTTGTTTTAATGACATGTACAGTACATCATATATTCATCATATTATATAAAGTAGGTTGCAATACCACTGCAAAGACTAGCTGGCCAACATTTTTTTGCCCATCAAAGGTGAAAATTTACACTGGCGAGATTTCACTCAATGCGAAGGCTTGGAACGGCCGGGTGATTTGCGCTTGGCTGGCAGAAACTATGCCCCTAGCTGCTAGAGGATATCCTGCTGAATACGACGAAGGTCGTTTGACTTTGGTATGTTACTCTTTGAATCTTGACCCAATCTGGGGTTGGCCATACCCGCTTGAAACCTGCAAACCGGAGTTTGTTTTGTGTGGCGTGGGGTCCCAGCAACTGCGTGGGGTCCCAGCAACTGTCCTGCCAGACCAGCAGTAGGTTGCCATCCCATTGCTCAGGAAATGCATGGCCAGATTTTTCTGGCTGTGTGAATCGAACCCTAGACAGTTGATTCTTGATTGTAATTATTAGTGATCAAATATTTTGGACACCCCAAGGCTATTTTTTTTTGCCCAAGAAAGTAGATGTTTGCATTTAGGGGCGATTTTAGGGGCATACTAAGGGGAATTATTTTGTTTCTTAGCAACAATGCGAGGTCACAGGGTGCAGCTGAAGCAATGTATGCCGAAGGGCGTGGATTCCTGCGATCATTCAAACATTTGGGTTACATCAGTATCCACCAAAGGAAGCAAACATTTTTGATGAAGCCCAAATTCCATGTTTCTCAGCTTTGATTTTCAGATTCAATTATTTCTTTCTGGTTTCACCTCTGAAAAAACTAGATGATTTGAACAGTTTAGACGATGCTTTAATTTGTCCTAGGATTTGCAATTCACCCAAATTTTTGACTTATGATAGCTATAGCTGGAACATATTTTGATGGTTAAAGACTATCAATAGACTTGAGATATATTAATTTGGGGAGGGTTGCTACTGAACCGAGGCTTTTTTGCATGTGTGCCGCGATTTGCGCAGAACCAGAGCCTTGTGCAAATGTAGATTGATGGGATGGAACCAAATGGTTATGCTATGCCACCAGCACTAGCTAGATGATCTGCTATTCTTTCCATTTTTATATTCGGCTTGTGGGGTCCCAACACCAGACATATCAAGCGTCCACTGGGGACTTACATCACAATTTAGGGAATATACAGATCGACAATTATTCCTACATATCATCATGGCCCCTGGGAACACAAAACCCTTGGTACAAATATGACATCATTATTCCACCGGAGAATCACAATTTTTAGTCTAGAGGGAAAGCAATCTAAACAGTTGGGAGCACAATGAACCCCATTGGTTCCATAGATACATCATATCTATACTATCTATATGTCTATCTATGCAATATATATTATATATATAATATTGCGCGCTATTTGCATATATCGCGATATATACCCTGGAAGTCCTGGAAGTTTCTTCTTCAAAACCCGTCCACTTAGGGAAGAATCCTCGATACTTCCACACGTTTGCTGACGAGGATGCTATGCGTTGGAGCAAAAGCCACTTGTAGAATTTAGGAAGCAGCAACATCCGACCATCATCACGTACACAATGTTTTGTATGTGGGCCCAACCCAACACTAAAACATCTAGTGGTCGATGCCACTTACCTACTGAGGTGTTGCAAAATATTCACATCCCAGAAGAAGACCACTGTGGCTTCTCAAGTGCCAACGGTTGAGGTGCAAAATTGGTTGATAGGTGAATTCATATGTGAATTTGCTTACTGTAATTACCTCTTGCGCGGGTATTTTTGTCTTCAACTAATGTGCCAGGCTGAAAGCCACATACTACAAAATGGAACAGCTGCTTGATATGCACAAAGGCTATGGTCAAACCATACTGCAATGGGAAATATGTTTTCAATGGGTGTTTTCGCCGTTTGGTTCTTTTACAGCATGTGCTAGTGCTAAACAAAGCACCTGCTGGGTTCCGAGGCTTCTGGCTCGTGGTTTCCGCTGATCTGTGTCACCGCACTGGAAAAAAGAAGATTCAACCCTGGGAAATGGGAAGAACATGTGACTCAGAAAACCCCATTCTGAGGAAAACCGTGGTTGTTGGAAAACCGTGGTTGCGGGAAAGACTATTTAAAAAACCGTATCTGGACTTCCAGGGTATATATATATCCATAGGATCGATGTATGTTATATATGGTAACATTTACCATCAATATACCCCAAATGTTAGCATATATACCATACATGGATCCTATGGGTATATATATATATATGTAAATGTATATCATCTTAATATGCCATTAGGAAGATATGTGATACTATGTGGTAATAATATGGGAATCGTATGACCAGATAAGGGTCAATCTCAATTTTCCCTGAGCCAATGAGTCACTAAGGTGTATTGGAGATATTTTTCAACAAGGAGGTATGTTCGTAGGCCCACAAATTGCGAGGCGAATTGCAAGTGTGTTTTGAACAAATAAAGATATCTGTGGCTAGAGTCGGAACCCATATGTTCCGAGTTGCGAATTGTTTTGAATTCTTTCAACATGTTCACTCGCCATGGATGCCACGAGAATCAGCCGGTACTCCAAAATGTCGACAGCTTTTGATTCTGAATTTTCCAATTAAACATGGAATCATTGTCTTTGGCTAGCGACTGCCATTCGGTGGTTCCCAAGCTTCGACTGGAAAACCACCAGCAATGATTGGCTGCGACCACAGATGTAGCCGAAAAATGCTAAGACAGGCAAATGCGACATATATACTATATATATATACACTATGTATATATATATATATACTATATATATATACACTCTATATATACTATATATATATATTACGTATATCATTCTATACCTACTAGGGGTTTTTGCCGCCACAGAGATTTGTGGTTACAAATGGTACCCCCCATGTCTGTCCATGTCATACGACGCATTACGACGCCCCGTTTGGAAATCCAGCAGCCATGGTGGACAAAATGGTCTCGCCGCAGGTCAACAGGCCATAGACCAATCCTTAGATCCAGATCTTGGGATCAGCAACGATCTGGGAAAGCCCTCTTGGATAGATGGCTCGTTTAGTTCTATATGATTTACATATTAAGGATGGTTATTGTCCATAGATTTCCATAGCTATGTTAAATTACCAGAGGGGAATTAAACCTTCTAATGGGAAAAAAACAGCTATGAATGGTTTTAACTGGGATAGTCATCTGCAAATAGAGGAGTTTCCAGATTACCGGAGGGTATTCACTTTGGGGTCCCCAACAAAGCAGGCTTCATGGTATGGCATGATATGGTATGATCCTTGGTGTATGGGATTGTTCAAATGGTAGTATCAACATACTATCACAGGGATATACCTGATATACAGTATAGTACAGTCTAGTCTTGTCTAGTAACTAGTGCCAGTAAAAGTATAGTATAGTAATAATATAGTATAGAGTATAGCCAAGAATTAGATGAGACAAACAAAACACAGCAATATGGACAATTCACCCATTATTCCAAAATGATCCAAGCAACGCCACATGATCTTGAAGTGATTCACCATCCTGTCAAGGGTGATAAAAATGGATCTGCCGCCCATGGAATCCGCTTGAGTGCAAACAACATCCATTGAATATAATGTATTCAGAATTATCCATGGATAATGTATTACAGTAATATAGCCATATAGCTCTTGAAATATCCAGAATTCAACAAGAGGCACAAGTCGTCACCGGAAAGCTGCCAACAAAGACGATCCAGGGGTTGAACATATAAAATCATCATGTCTGGATGCGGAATAACGTTTTATTATTGTGTTATCATGATGTTGATCCATATCTACAAATACATACAATCACTTAGACTTACACATATATATTTCATGATTAATTCAGGAATTATTTTTATAATTTTTTATATATCCATAGAATTATACGTATACAATATAGCCATGATACGCATAATATATCCATCTCGGTATCCGTTATCGCCCCGGCCCCAGCAACCGCGCGCCTTAAGGCGCGGACCAAGCGAAGAAGCCGCAGACCACGAAAGACCAAGAGACGCTCAAAGCCCAGGTCATTGCTACCTGCTGCTGCCGAAGCATACGGATTTTTTGGGAATTTCTGGTGATTATTTTGGGATTTCTTAGGGATCTCTTGGGATTTTTGTTGACAAATTTTGGAAAAGGATAGAATTTGCTGTAGTTTGATCCTTTGGAAAAGCTACTACTGCTGGGAAACTCATTCTTGGATATTCTTAGTGTGTATGAAAACCGCGTCGTTTTGCAACACCAATCTACCTGAGAGAACAGGGGCGATGTCTTGCAAAGTGGTCATGACGACCCCAAAATGAGGTAGCAAAAAATGAATCAAACAGTCCCCCCTGGCATATCTGTTCGCTATCCAGCTCCAACATGATCCAACCCCACATAAATTTGCACTGCTATTCAGCTCCACATATCTTTCTTCCTTGTCCTTTTCCCAGCTTTCTTCAAGCAAAGCATGAGATACTCACGCACATATGGCAACAATGGTCAACCTCATGGCTTGTTACTGTCGTTTTGCCGTTGCCCCCACGAACACACAGCGCAATGCAAAACATATGACTTGCTTGCATGAATCCCATGCCAGTAGAGTATCAGCAACATGATGTTGACATACCTACAGTATATACCGCGGGTTATCGGTGTTTTCCTCCTTGTCGTTTTACAGTGAATGGGCCCTATCCAGCACGAAAGGATGCCTGCATCCAAAGAGCACGCTGTATTGATGAGAATGCGGGTGGAAGAAATGGGAATGTTGATCTTTTGTTAAGTATGTTTTCTCTGTTTTTTGTTTAACAGGCACAAATCAATGAGTCAGTCATGGGGGTAGAAGTTTACTGCAACCATTCAGAAATAGCTTCGTCACCAAGAAATAATGTGTGTTGAATCCAAAACAATAGACATACTCACCAACAAGAAATGCGTCTTGTGTAATTTTTTGTTCAGGGCCCTGCAATATTTGGCCCCGTACTAGTACCACATACAAAGACACAAAGACACAGTCAGCTCCTTAAACATGTGTTGCTTATGCCCATGAAATGGGGAATGGGAGCAAGGTAGCGCAAGGTAGGAACCGTTAAAATTGTTTTAAGCAGCCAACGTCTAATTTTGGGGGTAGCCTATCCCAAAATAGCGTGTCGCGGAACCATGGACCCTCTGGAGTGTGTGTCTGTGTCTGTGTGTTGGCTGCTCGTGTCACGAGTTGTTGGTGTTGTGTGGATTGTAGATAAACATTAGATCATGCAGTAGAAAGTCCAAAAAAGGGAAACAAGACAGCCTTTCAGTGGATGGCTGAACCCAGCAAGAGTTCTTGCTTTTGCATAGACCACCAAGAATTATTTGATAGCGCATACACCTTTACATAAGATATACATACCGTGATTTATTTTAGTTGTGTATGTGAATTATGTTATGGTATAAGTGGTTGTTTTTTAAATGCTCATCAACTGATTCACTCCATTTCAGGTTCACTGCATTCAATTGTCTGCATTGTACCTCCTTTCATGAGTTTGTTTCATTTCATTGCAACCCCTTCTTTTCTCATATTCCAGCCATTAAGTCGTTCAGTTAACGCACTTGCTTCACTTGCATGCATTCTTACATAATTCCAAACATCATTCATATACCCATGCATTCCTCCAGTCAGTCGTGCATTTACTACTCCATGGGTTCATTCATTCAATCCCACAATTCGTTTTGGCCATTGACTTTGCCGTTTTTTCTCACCATGAATTGATCCATCGGTTCATGGTTTTGTTTGTTCACGATCCCACTCAAATTCAAATGAAGAAAAACACAAATCCATAGGGATCATGTTTTTCTGACATTGGGAGAACATCTATAGGGGACAATAGAGATTTTTCGTACATTTATTATACAGGTTTCATGGAACGGGATATTATATGATGTATGATGTATGATGATTGATGATGACCCTCTGATAATTCAACAGTGTGCCAGGGTGCATATTCATGTATCTTCATGATACTTGTATGAATCCACCAAAGGTCGTGGAGTCGTGGATCCTTGAGAACGGTTTGGATCAAGCCTCCAAAAAGAGGTGCAAGGACCAGTGCAAAGATTCCAAGGGCCACCAGAAAAAGGTCCATCCAGAACCAGGGGTCCTTAAGGGGCGAGCCACCGAACTGGCTGAGATTTGGATGATTTTGAGATTTCCATATTGCAAAAAAACTGTATATCTATTTAAGATATTATATATGTATATAAGATATTTGTATATATATAATATATATATGTATACATATGTATGTATAAATAACAATCTCCCTCAAAACAGGTACTGGTACTATAACCAAACTATATAGACATTGATCACCAGGGTTTTGGGCATTGCTGGATGAAAAATGCCCTGCTGCCAATCAGGGTGTTATTTTCATGAAGATTATCCGGTTTTGGAGGGATGGAACATCAAAGATCTTCTAAACCACTAAGGCTCGGTTCCAATGCCATCCCTGCCGTGTCTTCCAGCTTGATTCTTGGAGAAACTGTGAACACATGATAAGAAATACACTAAGTCAAAGAAGAAAACACATTGAAAATATGTATATATATATATATAGAGTACTCATACCACATGTAGATTTATGCATTCATACATAACCTACAGTAATATAAGATAAGATAACATGACATAACATTGCATTACATTTAGATTGCATCGCATTAAACTAAGTTTTACTACACTGTGTATATATGTACATATTATATACTACATTCTCAAAGTGAATCCGTATACATGTTGGATCATCCTGCTGCAGGTCGTCAGTCGTCACTGTCGCACCTTCTTGGGGACAGCATGGCGGCACGTCCATTCCGGTAAGGGGTATATCATCAGCCCTACTAACACTACAATGATACTTGGATTTTCCCATCTCCAGACTTTGGGGACAAACCTCATCAAATTATCAACTAATGTCAAATAATGATGTTCAGAAGATTAGTAGATTAGTTCTTACAATGTTCCTCCCATGCTTTCCATGTCTATCCGATTTTCCCATGACTTTCCTAATCAAACTTCAGCACATTCCATGCCCGCTCCTTGAAGTTGCTCCAACCACCTGCCACCCATCCTGGAACACGACTGGAGCAGTGACAAAACCGCTGGTGGATTGGCTATAGTAGGTGGTTTATATTGGTTTATACAAGTTGAAACCCATCATGTGTGAACACTTGTCTGTTCACACATGTTCATATATTGTTTAGCTATTGCCCAATCATGTTTTTTTTCAGATGTTACGAACATGTGTGAACACTTGTCTCTAGATATCTCTAGATGGTCCTCCGTTCATGTGCATCTTTTTGCTGATTCTGCATGCATGATTCATCATCAAATCAGCGACATCTTTGTAGGGGATGGACTGTCCATCACTGTCCGTCCAGGATGCGCCTTACTGCATGTATATACATAATATATATATATATATATACACATAGTTATACATATATATATATATTATATATCTTAGGATATATTTCTTTATACAGTATATCAGTATATCTGAAGACTATTTAGGATTCATATTTCTTGGGTTCGGTCGTTGAGCCACTCACATCTTGCAAAAGTAAAGCCATTGACCCAACATGTACTGGGCGGCATTGATGATTGAAATCTCCCCTGCGAAATGAATTGCACAGTCTCAAATCTGTGAAAACAATCCAAAATCGGCTGGAACAAATTGAGTGTTCAACAATCCGATTTGCTGGTGTCTCGGCAATTGACCCATATATCTAGAATCTACAGAAATCGATAGAAATAAATGTAAAACATTGTAACAACATTCAGCCACGACAAGGGGTCCGTACCAGTTCAGCAGTTAAAGCCGGGCACTTGATCCCACAAAAAACTTGCAGAAACGAAATACCTATCTGGGGCCACTTTTTCAGCCTATTGGGTAGTCTGTTGTTCCCACCTGAAACGAAACACATCGAACTCGTAGGTCTTTCGGGGGAGCTTCCGGGGTGTATGACCAAGACCTGGAGGGTATCCTATGGTTGGAGGTAAAAAATGGAATTACTACTCGGGGAGGGTTCCAGGCTGAATAACTGAGGCCTACGCCAAATCTCCAGCTGGCTGTTGTTGGCTAGATAGCCATGAATCACTTTTAGAATCTATATCAATATCTGAGAGTATCCAGTTTTCCAGTAGTCGAATTTGACAAGGAAGATTCGCGTTTTTTTTCTCGGGACACTCATCAAAAAATTGAGGAACCTGGAAGATTCTCAGGTTAAAGATTGAGTGACGCGAGGGCTTCCGTCAGCAAAGGCTCTCAGGACCACTTCCACAAAGTAGATCGCCAAAAAGATGCGCTCAGCGATGTGGGGCCAAACAGCTTTCCTTAAATCCCAGCGTGGTTTCAGTGGTTTCAGCATGTTTCAACTCTCTGAATGGTTTAGTCGTTGGCAAATTGGGAATCATCACCGGGAATCTAAGATGTTTATAGCACAAGAAAAATCCAAGAATTGGGACATGAAAAAAATCTAACCCAATCCCAACATGCGAATTCGAAAAATAGCTGGATATAGCTGGGAATAAGAATCGGGGTTTCCTCCTGACATCACGCGTCAGAGATCATCCCTTCTACTGGTTGATTCCTGCTGTAGGAGTCCCATATTGATCATATTGGATTAGAATAGTTCCTGCTAAATCAGATCATAATCCAAAACATTTGGAGCTTAAACGGAACATCACCGCGTGGGAAGCTTCACCCTTCCTAGTCGGATGATTGGCCCATGGCTAGGGATCAATGCGTACAATTGTTCTTAGGGGATGAACATCCATTTGCCATAATATGTTCACCAGGGGTACAGGCTTCTGACCACCAAACCCAACTGTATATTAACTTTATTGCAAAACCGTAAACCATCACCCCATAGTCCGTGCAAGGTAGTAGGTATGACCCAACCAATCCCCAGAGCATCTGCTCAGCGAAAACATAGACTGCAAACGTTTTTTTTTTTAAACTATAGAAGGTGGCCTATGTCATACAGTATCTTACATTCTGGATGATTAGCGAGGAATCCCAAACATCTCTTGATGCTTGTTGATGCTTTTCCTATGTCCATTCCCAAGCAACATCTGGCTGGTTGTTTTAACCATCGTGAAAAATATTAGTCAATGGGAAGCATTGTCCCATATATTATGGAAAATAAAAAATGTTTGAAACCACCAACCAGACATTCATTTCTGGTGGGACTGTCGACCATCTTCTTTCTTGGGTTTGATCAACGGTTGTTCTTGGAGAAGTTTGGATGCAATTTTGTTTTGCCTCCCTCATCAAAATAGCAATAGCACATCATATATGCAGTGACTCATGACTCATGAAAGCACCATAATTTATATAATTCTGCACCTTTCCCAGGTTTGCTCCACCAAGAAACAACGGAAACATAAGAGAACATAATCCTCACTGCCGAGCCCATCTGCCAAGAAGCTCGTAGAAACCCGGAGTAGACAAGCCCATCTCCAGTTCAACACCAACCATGACCAGGTTGACCAAGATGATCAGACCCGTTACGTACTCAAACCTCAGGTGCCAAACTCTTTGGTATACTATGGTATATTGTGGCAAAGATCCTTGAAGAGCTGACAACTCAAACAGTGCTCACCATGCTCAACCATTTCTTCGCCGCCCAAAATAACAAACATCTAAGCAAATCCCAGACATGCTTGCAGGGCTGACTCGATTTTGAAACATGTACATGGCCTTGTAGTGTCACGTTACGATACTTTACGTGCAATTAGACCTGTTGGAGATGCCAAATGATGATTGATCGAGTCCAAACTAGTACATGGGCTGCTCACATTACGTAGCCTGCAACAATGGTTTCAATTTTGAAAAAAAATCTTTGTCACATGTCTGTATGGGCGTGTCTGAAAATAGTGTGCCCCAAAATCCATTGGGGTATCATCATTTTCCATGTATTGCCATGTTGGGGTGTCCAGACACATCAATAATCCGTTTATGGATGAAACTAACCGATGCACCAAGCGTTCACAAGGATATTGCGAGATTTCATCTCCTCCGGTTTACTCCAAACGTTAGAGATCTGGCCATCTGGACTGCCATCCAGACACCAATGAGCACGTACAATGCGCTCTGCAATGAAGCGTTGCTTTTGTTTGAACCTTAGCATTCTCAAACCAACCAAAGGTCCGGTTAGAAACATCAACTGACTTAAGGGACCTAACATTACGGGCCAATCACTAGCTGCATTTGTAACAATATGAAATGAATAATTACAGTCGCTCAGTTGAGGGGCACCAAGACTTAAAATCCCACTTATCCCATATACCATCACAAGCAATCACAACTTACGCAACTCGCAGTTGGTGACTTTCATGTTCGTTCATCACAGGCTGTCGGTTGAGCCCTTCACGGTTTGCCAACGGCACTGCTGCGGGTTGCGTCCTGGGAATACTGTCGGATCGTTGGATTCACATCCAAAGATACCATCGACATCAGAGGAACACCAAATCATTGATGTTTCATGTGTTATTTAATCTGGTTGGTGGTTGACCTACCCCTCTGAAAAATATGAAAGTCAATGGGAAGGATGACATCCCATATATGAAATGGAACATAAAACATGTTTGAAACCACCAACCAGTAATGTTATATTATCTTATATTTCCGGGAAAATGGTGCCACCCGGACATGGGGGAATTTCCAGCAGTGTCAATTCGGGTGTCTTCAAAAAAAAACCTGGCCATGTCCAGATCAAAATCATCCCGAAGCAATTCAGGCAACCAGCCGTCCATGCTCCATGATGCACCGGATATGCTATATTATTATATATATATATTATTATATAAATGTGATGGAACATATAGAAAAGGATAGAAAAGGGCTCGCTGGTTTCAAAACCATAGAAACCAAATAATCAATTGGGGATCATGATTCCAAGCAATATTTGAAACCACTAGGCAAACAAATCAGATACTGCAATCAAATAGCTATGGATCACCGATCAGTATGATCAGTACTACCACGATTTTTACACTGGTTGTCGTCGAAGTACAGCCATCCTAATCTATATCTGCGGTGTCAACCCATTCCGACTCGAGTCCGGGACTAGGATACAATACACCTTGGGCAACTTATTTCACAATTATTGACAATTATAAAATTATTAACCCTGGTGTACATTATACAATTATTATTGTAAGTTGGGACAATTATTGACAATTATATATTGATCCCAATTCGTGTGTCCATTCTACGGTATTGCCTTCTCCTTGGTCGTCGAAAATTTATGACACTGGGATGTCACCAAAAAAAATATAGGACCGGATAACCCCGCATGTTACCAACTTCTCTAGACTTAGACTGAGCATAGAAAAGCAAGAAGGGAAGAGGAAGGATAAGAGTGGTGGAGGGGTGATGGTGGGTGAGTGATGAGGGGTGATGGAGGGGTGATGGTGGGGAGGGTGTGTGTGTATGTATGTGCATGTACAGGTGAGTGAGTGAGAGTGTGAGTGAGTGATGTGAGTGTGGTGTGTGTGAGTGATGTGAGTGTGGTCTGAGTGACTGAGAGTGAGTGAGTGAGTGAGTGAGTGAGTGAGCGAGCGAGCGAGCGAGTGAGTGAGTGAGTGAGTGTGAGTGAGTGTGAGTGAGTGAGTGTGAGTGAGTGTGAGTGAGTGTGAGTGAGTGAGTGTGAGTGAGTGAGTGAGAGTGAGTGAGTGAGTGAGTGAGTGAGAGAGTGAGTGAGTGTGAGTGAGTGTAAGAGTGAGTGTAAGAGTGAGTGTAAGAGTGAGTGTAAGAGTGAGTGTAAGAGTGAGAGTGAGAGTGAGAGTGAGAGTGAGAGTGAGAGTGAGTGTGAGTGTGAGTGTGAGTGTGAGTGTGAGTGTGAGTGTGAGTGAGTGTGAGTGTGAGTGTGAGTGAGTGTGAGTGAGACTGAGTGTGAGTGTGAGTGTGAGTGTGAGTGAGTGTGAGTGAGTGTGAGTGAGTGTGAGTGTGAGTGTGAGAGAGTGAGTGAGTGAGTGAGTGAGTGAGTGAGTGAGTGAGTGAGTGAGTGAGAGTGAGAGTGAGAGTGAGTGTGAGTGAGAGTGAGTGAGTGAGTGAGTGAGTGAGTGAGTGAGTGAGTGAGTGTGAGTGAGTGCGTGAGTGAGTGAGTGAGAGTGAGTGAGTGAGTGAGAGTGAGTGAGTGAGTGTGAGTGATGTTGAGTGAGTGCGCAAGTGGGTGGGTGGGTTGGGTGGGTGGGTGTGAGTGACTGTGTGTGAGTGAGTCACGCAAAATAGGCGGAGACCCAAGGGACGCCAGGGCGTACATCCGACCCATTGGCAGTGCACATTGTGCCACGCCTGCCACGCAAAAGAGGCGGAGACCCAAGGGACGCCAGGGCGTACATCCGAGCCCTTGGCAGTGCACATTGTGCCACGCCTGCCACGCAAAAGAGACGGAGACCCAAGGGACGCCAGGGCGTACATCCGACCCCGTGGCAGTGCGCATTGTGCCACGCCTGCCACGCAAAAGAGGTGGAGACCCAAGGGACGCCAGGGCGTACATCCGACCCCTTGGCAGTGCGCATTGTGCCACGCCTGCCACGCAAAAGAGGTGGAGACCCAAGGGACGCCAGGGCGTACATCCGACCCCTTGGCAGTGCACATTGTGCCACGCCTGCCACGCAAAAGAGGCGAAGGACGGCAGGGCGTACATCTGACCCCTTGGCAGTGCGCATTGTGCCACGCCTGCCACGCAAAAGGGGCGGAGACCCAAGGGACGCCAGGGCGTACATCCGACCCCTTGGCAGTGCACATTGTGCCACGCCTGCCACGCAAAAGAAGCGGAGACCCAAGGGACGCCAGGGCGTACATCCGAGCCCTTGGCAGTGCACATTGTGCCACGCCTGCCACGCAAAAGAGGCGGAGACCCAAGGGACGCCAGGGCGTACATCCGACCCCTTGGCAGTGCACATTGTCCTACGCCTGCCACGCAAAAGAGGCGGAGACCCAAGGGACGCCAGGGCGTACATCCGACCCCTTGGCAGTGCAGATTGTGCCACGCCTGCCACGCAAAAGAGGTGGAGACCCAAGGGACGCCAGGGCGTACATCCGACCCCTTGGCAGTGCACATTGTGCCACGCCTGCCACGCAAAAGAGGCGGAGACCCAAGGGACGCCAGGGCGTAAATCGGACCCCTTGGCAGTGCCTGCCTCGCAAATGCCACGCAAAAGATGCAGTGAGTGAGTGAGTGAATGAGTGAGTGAGTGAGTGTGAGTGAGTGAGTGTGAGTGAGTGAGTGTGAGTGAGTGAGTGTGAGTGAGTGTGAGTGTGAGTGTGAGTGTGAGTGTGAGTGTGAGTGTGAGTGAGTGTGAGTGAGACTGAGTGTGAGTGAGTGTGAGTGAGTGTGAGTGAGTGAGTGAGTGAGTGTGAGTGAGACTGAGTGTGAGTGTGAGTGTGAGTGTGAGTGTGAGTGTGAGAGTGTGAGAGTGTGAGAGTGTGAGAGTGTGAGAGTGTGAGAGTGTGAGTGAGTGAGTGAGTGAGTGAGTTGAGTGAGTGAGTGAGTGAGTGAGTGTGAGTGAGTTTGAGTGAGTGAGTGTGAGTGAGTGTGAGTGAGTGTCAGTGAGTGAGTGAGTGAGTGAGTGAGTGAGTGAGTGAGTGAGTGAGTGAGTGAGTGGGTGGGTGGGTGGGTGGGTGGGTGGGTGAGTGAGTGCGTGTGAGTGAGTCACGCAAAAGAGGCGGAGACCCAAGGGACGCCAGGGCGTACATCCGACCCCTTGGCAGTGCACATTGTGCCACGCCTGCCACGCAAAAGAGGCGGAGACCCAGGGACGCCAGGGCGTACATCCGACCCCTTGGCAGTGCACATTGTGCCACGCCTGCCACGCAAAAGAGGCGGAGACCCAAGGACGCCAGGGCGTACTCCCCCCCTTGGCAGTGCACATTGTGCCACGCCTGCCACGCAAAAGAGGCGGAGACCGCAGGGCGTACATCCGACCCCTTGGCAGTGCGCATTGTGCCACGCCTGCCACGCAAAAGAGGCGGAGACCCAAGGGACGCCAGGGCGTACATCCGACCCCTTGGCAGTGCACATTGTCCCACGCCTCCGACCACGCAAAAGAGGCGGAGACCCGAGGGACGCCAGGGCGTACATCCGACCCCTTGGCAGTGCACATTGTCCCACGCCTGCCACGCAAAAGAGGCGGAGACCCAAGGGACGCCAGGGCGTACATCCGACCCCTTGGCAGTGCACATTGTCCCACGCCTGCCACGCAAAAGAGGCGGAGACCCAAGGGACGCCAGGGCGTACATCCGACCCCTTGGCAGTGCACATTGTCCCACGCCTGCCACGCAAAAGAGGCGGAGACCCAAGGGACGCCAGGGCGTACATCCGACCCCTTGGCAGTGCACATTGTCCCACGCCTGCCACGCAAAAGAGGCGGAGACCCAAGGGACGCCAGGGCGTACATCCGACCCCTTGGCAGTGCACATTGTGCCACGCCTGCCACGCAAAAGAGGCGGAGACCCAAGGGACGCCAGGGCGACATCCGACCCCTTGGCAGTGCACATTGTGCCACGCCTGCCACGCAAAAGAGGCGGAGACCCAAGGGACGCCAGGGCGTACATCCGACCCCTTGGCAGTGCACATTGTGTCACGCCTGCCACGCAAAAGAGGCGGAGCCCAAGGGACGCCAGGGCGTACATCCGACCCCTTGGCAGTGCACATTGCGCCACACCTGCCACGCAAAAGAGGCGGAGACCCAAGGGACGCCAGGCGTACATCGGACCCCTTGGCAGTGCCTGCCTTGCACATGCCACGCAAAAGATGCAGTGAGTGTGTGAGTGAGTGAATGAGTGAGTGAGTGAGTGTGAGTGTGAGTGTGAGTGTGAGTGTGAGAGTGAGAGTGTGAGTGAGAGTGAGTGAGTGTGAGTGAGTGAGTGTGAGTGAGTGAGTGTGAGTGAGTGTGAGTGAGTGTGAGAGAGTGTGAGTGTGAGTGAGTGTGAGTGAGTGTGAGTGAGTGTGAGTGAGAGTGAGAGTGAGAGTGAGTGAGTGAGTGAGTGAGTGAGTGAGTGAGTGAGTGAGTGAGTGAGTGTGAGTGAGTGTGAGTGAGTGTGAGTGAGTGAGTGAGTGAGTGTGAGTGAGTGTGAGTGAGTGTGAGTGAGTGTGAGTGAGTGTGAGTGAGTGTGAGTGAGTGTGAGTGAGTGTGAGTGAGTGTGAGTGAGTGTGAGTGAGTGAGTGAGTGAGGACGGGAAGGACGGGAAGGAGGAGGCGCGGATACAGAACTAAAAACAAAAACCCCACACGTCAATGTGGGGAAAAATCTCTCTGGCTGTCATTCAAAGATCTGGATAAATTACGAGAATTCACCTGAAATAAGAAGAAACAATACCATTTGAGTCATTTGATGGATGTCAAAAACCTAATCAAAATTCTGAATACTCATGTGTGGATCATATGGGGCAGGTTCTGAAAAAAAACATGTCTTTACAGGGTTATCGGTTGTGTCTGATGTTGGCTGGAAACACCATGGAGATCTTCAGCGACTGGCTGCATTGGGGCAGACCTGCTAAGGGTTTTGCACCATTGCGTCGCACTTGCGCCGTGAAAGTTCTAAGGGGCTGTGGCTGCTGTGTGCTCATGGGGCGCATCTCACTGACAGTATGTTTTTTTGTACGTACAGTATGTCTTTGCACTTCGCTGGTGTGGTCAGACTGTGGGAAGCATCTCACAGGCAGTTTGGTTTCGCACTTTCTTGCAGCAGCTTGAATGAAGGTGGAAAGTTTCACACAGGCACTTTTCTCTTGCACCCAAATTTTGAGGATAGTGACTCCTATATCAACCATCATTCCACCTGGTCCGGCTATCCATTGCTACAAATTGTCAGAGCCACAGCTTGCTGCCATCCCGGGAACAGAACAAATGAAAATACCAACCCGTCGATGTTTGCTGCTTTAGAGTGCGGCACACTTTACAAGTCAAATCACCATCTCAGACACGGTCCAAGTTGTGTTATTATTATATAATTATATATATATACACGAGTATACACATTCTATATGTGGGTGTGTAAAGTAATATATCATAAATATATATATATATACTTATACATGTCGCTGACCTTCCAACCACAGGGACTAACCTTGTGGTCAATCAAACGGAACCCCTATGTTTTTACTGAACCCCAATATTTCATAGTTTATCACGACTACCTCCCAAAAGAGCTTAAATCAAGAATGCAGAATAGGCAAGACCGACCTTAAGGAATCCTAAAGGTAACATCCAGAACGCACAGGCTCCACACAAAAAGGTAGTGCGCAAAGTATCACACCAGATCTATTCTGTGAAAAATTGAGTCAAACCATCATGTGGGTCACACGCACACACACACACCAGTTTTTTGATAGTGACTGTGCTCATGGGTTTTCACGGTCTTTTCACGCACTTTTCACGATGTTTTCGCGTACGTTTCACGCCTCAATTAACATGAGCTAAGACCCACCGCAAAACATCGATCTAGAAGAGGACATGTTTCAGCTATTGCCATTTGCAACTGAAACCAACCTTTTAGCAGATTGTTTGTTCCTCCTACATTGGCTGCCCATCCACTTTTCATATCAATACTGCTGCCCAAACTGCATTGGACCTGAAACAGTTTATAGCAAGAACATGGAACCAATATTTTCTGCAATCCTCAAGGACTCAAGGTATACTAACAATCTACAGAGTCTACAGTTCTCAACATTATTAACATGGGGATTTTTCTCAGGACCCCCTCGACGATCAACCTCAGCTCTCCTTCAAAGCCTCAGAGACCAACTTCTTCAAAGGTAGAATGCTCCAGTTGTTGGCATATGTCCTGGCAATGCGCATGGCAGGAGACTTGGAGGAATATCTGAGCTCTTACTGTGTCATGTTTACAAAACAACGGATTCACATCGGAAGATTATGTGGTTTGATATGATTTGATGCTTGAATCAAACAGTGGCTGTACAACGTAAGTATTGAAGGACGACGTGGAATTTTAGAGCTCAAAATACCGCTCGACCGTCTTGGTTTTCGATTCATAGTGTATGTTGATGTACACATGTACAAAGGACCAGGCCGCTTGTAGCTCCCCCGGTGTTCATTCAGGTGACCCTGCCAATACCCGCCAGCAAACGAAGAACCTTTTTGTTGGGCACAAACCCCGTAGACATCAAAAGTGGCCGGTGCTTTGTGGGACTGAGAACGTCTGCATGATTGGTAGCTTGTCGCCAATTCTGATAGCTGATAGCATGTTTTTCCCCACCTGCCAGGTGAGGGTCCAGATTTTAACAAATGTGCAACTCCTTCTCCTTCTCCTCCGCCTCCTCTTTTTGCTAGCTCGTCGGGACTGTGGGCATGAATGGGCCCGAGTGGCGAGCCTCGGATGCAGTGGGCCACGCCTGGACCCGAACCCCATATCGCCGGCTCCAAAGGCGTGGGCCACGCCTGGACCCGAAGATAGAGAATGTCAGCTAAAATGTTGGAATAACTGCCAAATAGAATGTCAGATAGAATGCAAGACAGAATGCCAGACAGCATGTCAGACTATGTGTCAGATAGAATGCCAGAAAGAATGCCAGATAGAATGTCAGAATAGATGCCAAATAGAATGCCAGAATGAATGCCTAGATAGATGATGCTAGATAGAATGCCAGAATAGATGCCAGAAAGAATGTCAGAATAGATGCCATTAAATAGAATGCCATAATAGATGACAGAATAGATGCCATCTAGAATGCCAGAAAGAATGTCAGAATATATGCCAGCAAGTATGTCCGACAGAATGTCAGAGTTTATGCCAGAAATAGTGCCAGACAGAATGTCAGAGTATATGCCAGAAAGCATGTCAGATACAATATCAGCTGTGATCGAACTCCACCATGATTTCCTACCACTTGCACAATATGTTCTGGTATAAGGATTTTCTTTGTTGTTTCTTTCGTTTTCATTTCGTCAGAATTTCGTCAGACTTTTCGTCGGGTGCTTTGTGGCAAAACGTTTTGCCACAAGATTTTGCCACAAATTCTTTCGTCAGAATTTCGTTAGGATTTCGTCAGAACTTGAATTGAAGCAACGAAATCTTTGACGAAATTTCAACGATTTTTTTTGTGGCAAAATGTTGTGGCAAAACGTTTTGCCACAAGGCAAAATTTCGTCCCCTCTCGCGTTTTGACGAAATTTTCCTTGTGGCAAAACGTTTTGCCACAACATTTTGCCACAAAAAAAATCGTCGAAATTTCGTCCAAAACTTCGTTGAAATTTTGTCAAACTTGAGTTGAAGCAACGAAATCTTTGACGAAATTTCAACGAAATTCTCACGATCATTTTTTGTGGCAAAAGGTGTGGCAAAATGGATTGCCGCAAGGATTGCCACGAAATCTTCAACGAAAGCTTTAACGAACTCTCAACGACCGACTGACGTTATACCATTCCTATTGCAAATCATGAGCAGCACCAACACAAAATATCAGTATATGTATAATATTTATACGTATTATATTATCATTATGTATGTATGTATGTATGTATGCATGCATGCATGCATGTATGTATATATATATATGTGTGTATGCCATATTTACTTCCAGGTGGTATGTCAAAAACTATGTCAGAATAGCGTGTCAGGGTGGGGATCACTCGAAGTAAAGTAAATACCCTATCCTATTTTGCATGCCAAAGGTCGGTGTGAATCTCCAGAAAAGCTAGTATTATTTCAGCAGGAAGGAAGTCCGCTCTGGGTGAGCCGAGTGAACCACGGACACATTTTTCCATTTCCGTTTTGCATGACAGGCATTGGACGGTCAATTGTCACCCTCGATTAAATCTATATATATATATATCTCTCTCTCTCTCTCTTTCAAGCTTCTGGAGGGTGGAATCCTAAGGTTTCCTACTTAGAATTCTATGGGGAAAGGGCATCACACTTGCAAGCTCAAGAAGCACAACACTTGAATATGTTTGATCAAAGGAAGTTTAGGGGGAGAAACTTCCGTGTTACGGACTTTTAGAATGTCAGGGAAAGAGTTAGTCAAAGAAAGAGTTAGTCAAAGAAACAGTTAGTCAGGGAAAGAGTTAGTCAAAGAAAGAGTTAGTCAGGGAAAGAGTTAGTCAAAGAAAGAGTTAGTGAGGGAAAGAGTTAGCAAAGAAACCGTTAGTCAAAGAAAGAGTTAGTCAAAGAAACAGTTAGTCAGGGAAAGAGTTAGTCAAAGAAAGAGTTAGTGAGGGAAAGAGTCAGTCAAAGAAAGAGTTAGTCAGGGAAAGAGTTAGTCAAAGAAAGAGTTAGTGAGGGAAAGAGTTTGTCAAAGAAAGAGTTAGTGAGGGAAAGAGTTAGTCAAAGAAAGAGTTAGTCAAAGAAACAGTTAGTCAGGGAAAGAGTTAGTCAAAGAAAGAGTTAGTGAGGTAAAGAGTTAGTCAAAGAAAGAGTTAGTGAGGGAAAGAGTTAGTCACAGAAAGAGTTAGCAAAGAAAGAGTTCGTCAGGGAAAGAGTTAGTCAAAGAAAGAGTTAGTCAAAGAAACAGTTAGTCAGGGAAAGAGTTAGTCAAAGAAAGAGTTAGTGAGGGAAAGAGTTAGTCAAAGAAAGAGTTAGTGAGGAAAAGAGTTAGTCACAGAAAGAGTTAGCAAAGAAATTGTTCCCTCACTGTAAATGGGATTGCAAGTGGTGCTGGTGGAGGAGTTGCCGATGGAGTTTTGACGGAAGTCTCGCACGAATGCGTTTTTGAGAGATAGCAGATGCACGAAACCCTGTGTTTTTCCAGACAAAGTCCGTCCCCGAACGTCGATGATCTACCTCTGCGGTGCGACGGGTGCGAGACGGTCTCGTGTGTGGTCGGATCATTCTCGGATCATGTTCGGATCGGTTCCGCATTGTAAATGGGGTTTCACCTGTGTTTCGTGCATTTGCGGTCGACAGAATTCCATTGTGATTTGCAACTTTAGGATCGTTCCCGCAATGTAAATGGGATTGCAAGTGGTGCTGGTGGATGAGTTGCCGATGGAATTCCCATTGTGATTTGCAACTCTAGGATCGTTCCCTCACTGTAAATGGGGTTGCAAGTGGTGCTGGTGGAGGAGTTGCCGATGGAGTTTTGAAGGAAGTCTCGCACGAAATGCGTTTTTGAGAGATAGCAGATGCACGAAACCCTATGTTTTTCCATACAAAGTCCGTCCCTGAACCTCGATGATCTACCTCTGCGGTGCGACGGTTGCGAGACGGTCTCGTGTGTGGTCGGATCATGCTCGGATCATGTTCGGATCGGTTCCGCATTGTAAATGGGGTTTCAAGTGTTTTTCGTGCATTTGCGGTCGACAGAATTCCATTGTGATTTGCACCTGTAGGATCGTTCCCGCAATGTAAATGGGATTGCAAGTGGTGCTGGTGGATGAGTTGCCGATGGAATTCCATTGTGATTTGCAACTCTAGGATCGTTCCCGCAATGTAAATGGGATTGCAAGTGGTGCTGGTGGATGAGTTGCCGATGGAGTTTTGAAGGAAGTCTCGCACGAAATGCGTTTTTGAGAGATAGCAGATGCAGGAAACCCTATGTTTTTCCATACAAAGTGCGTCCCCGAACCTCGATGATCTACCTCTGCGGTGCGACGGGTGCGAGACGGTCTCGTGTGTGGTCGGATCATGGGCGGATCATGGTCGGATCGGTTCCGCATTGTAAATGGGGTTTCAACTGTTTTTCGTGCATGTGTGGTCGGCAGAATTCCATTGTGATTTGCAACTGTAGGATCGTTCCCGCATTGTAAATGGGATTTCACCTGTGTTTCGTGCATGTGTGGTCGACAGAATTCCATTGTGATTTGCAACTCTAGGATCGTTCCCTCACTGTAAATGGGATTGCAAGTGGTGCTGGTGGAGGAGTTGCCGATGGAGTTTTGAAGGAAGTCTCGCACGAAATGCGTTTTTGAGAGAGAGCAGATGCACGAAACCCTATGTTTTTCCATACAAAGTCCGTCCCCGAACCTCGATGATCTACCTCTGCGGTGCGACGGGTGCGAGACGGTCTCGTGTGTGGCCGGATCATGCTCGGATGGTCTCGGATCGGTCTCGGATCGGTTCCGCATTGTAAATGGGGTTTCAACTGTTTTTCGTGCATGTGTGGTCGACAGAATTCCATTGTGATTTGCAACTGTAGGATCGTTCCCGCATTGTAAATGGGGGTGCAAGTGGTGCTGGTGGATGAGTTGCCGATGGAATTCCATTGTGATTTGCAACTCTAGGATCGTTCCCTCACTGTAAATGGGATTGCAAGTGGTGCTGGTGGAGGAGTTGCCGATGGAATTCCATTGTGCTTTGCAACTGTAGGATCGTTCCCGCAATGTAAATGGCTGCGTCAAGGTTGCTTCGTGCTGTGGCTGCATTGGTAATACTATTGTCTTTTGCAGCTGGATCTCGTAAATCGTACTGGAGTGGCTGCATGAAGGCTGCCACAGTGATTTGTCAGCAGATTTTCTCCATTTTGGCGCTAATGATTTTCCTTCTAAAAATCCTTTTAAAAAGTGCTTCAAAATCGTCTTTTTTTCGCTCTGGCGTCGAGATCCGGTTTTGGAGCTACAATTTCCGACGCCGTTGCGCGTATTTCTATTGTGTTTTGGAACTCAATCTCTGCAGATCGCATTGTAATGGCTGCGTCAAGGTTGCTGCGTGCTGTGGCTGCATTCGTAATACTATTGTCTTTTGCAGCTGGATCTCGTAAATCGTATTGGAGTGGCTGCATGAAGGCTGCGACATGGATTTGTTAGCAGATTTTCTCCATTTTGGCGCTAGTGATTGTCCTTCTAAAAATCCTTTTAAAAAGTGCTTCAAAATCGTCTTTTTTTCGCTCTGGCGTCGAGATCCGGTTTTGGAGCTACAATTTCCGACGCCGTTGCGCGTAGTTCTATTGTGTTTTGCAACTCAGTCTCCGCAGATCGCATTGTAATGGCTGCGTCAAGGTTGCTTCGTGCTGTGGCTGCATTCGTAATACTATTGTCTTTTGCAGCTGGATCTCGGAAATCGTCTTGGAGTGGCTGCATGAAGGCTGCGAAATGGGTTTGTTAGCAGATTTCTGCATTTTGGCACTAGTGTTTTTTTTGTTGGACGTACGTTTAGAGCAGTGTGAAGTGTGGGGCGTGAAGAGTGCAGTGTGAAGTGTGAAGTGTGAAGGAAGCAGTGGGAAGTGAGAAGTGTGAAGTGTGGAGTGTGAAGTTTCAGGTTGGAGGGCGAAGAGCGCAGTGTGAAGTGTGAAGTGTGAGGTTTGGAGTGTGAAGGAAGCAGTGAGAAGTGAGAAGTGTGAAGTCTGAAGTGTGAAGTGTGGAGTGTGAAGTGTGGAGTGTGAAGTGTGGAGTGTGAAGTTTCAGTTTGGAGTGCGAAGAGCGCAGTGTGAAGTGTGAAGTGTGAGGTTTGGAGTGTGAAGGAAGCAGTGAGAAGTGTGAAGTGTGAAGTCTGAAGTGTGAGTGAAGTGTGGAGTGTGAAGTGTGAAGTGTGAAGTGTGGACTGCGAAGTGAGAAGTGTGCAGTGTGAAGTGTGAAGTGTGAGGTTTGGAGTGTGAAGGAAGCAGTGAGAAGTGAGAAGTGTGGAGTGTGAAGTGTGGAGTGTGAAGTGCGAAGTGAGAAGTGTGAAGTTTGGAGTGTGAAGTGTGGACTGTGAAGTGTGGAGTGTGAAGTGCGAAGTGAGAAGTGTGGACTGTGCAGTGTGGAGTGCGAAGTGTGGACTGTGAAGTGTGAAGTGTGAAGTGTGGACTGTGAAGTGTGAAGTGTGAGTGAAGTGTGGAGTGTGAAGTGCGAAGTGAGAAGTGTGAAGTGTGAAGTTTGGAGTGTGAAGTTTGGAGTGGGAAGGAAGCAGTGAGAAGTGAGAAGTGTGAAGTGTGGAGTGTGAAGTGTGGAGTGTGAAGTGCGAAGTAAGAAGTGTGAAGTTTGGAGTGTGAAGGAAGCAGTGAGAAGTGAGAAGTGTGAAGTGAGAAGTGTGAAGTGTGGACTGTGCAGTGTGGAGTGTGAAGTGCGAAGTGAGAAGTGTGAAGTGTGAAGTTTGGAGTGTGAAGGAAGCAGTGAGAAGTGAGAAGTGTGAAATGTGGAGTGTGAAGTGTGAAGTGTGAAGTGCGAAGTGAGAAGTGTGGAGTGTGAAGTGTGAAGTGTGGACTGCGAAGTGTGAAGTGTGAAATGTGGACTGTGAAGTGTGAAGTCTGAAGTGTGGACTGTGAAGTGTGAAGTGTGAAGTGTGGACTGTGAAGTGTGAAGTGTGCAGTGTGAAGTGTGAAGTGTGAGGTTTGGAGTGTGAAGAAGCAGTGAGAAGTGAGAAGTGTGGAGTGTGAAGTTTGAAGTTTGGAGTGCGAAGAGTGCAGTGTGCAGTGTGAGGTGTGGAGTGTCGAGGGAAGGACACGGTCGGGACAGGTTGTCTTTGAACTATAGGTCATTTATGTTTGGGAAACTTCCGCCGCCGGCTTGCCCGGGTCTATGTTAACTCTTGCCATATGGGTGTAAGACCCGTTTCCAGATCCGGAGATGAGATGTTGCTACCATTTACAGTATATGGAGGTTTCCTGAAATAGGATACCCCCAAATCATCCATTTCATTTTCGGATTTTCCATTCTAAAGGGGTACCACACAATGACGGGACAACGTTCTACCATGGTAGTGAACTTTCCTTGCATCTAACTTTGGACATGGGAAATTTTGCCATGGAGTGCCAGGAAATTATTATTAAAATGAAATTAACAATTCAGGGCATCATCCATGTCGTCTGAGCAAATTTGAATATATTATCCAAAACTGTTTTTCCATGATGCACCTATGTACGAGTGTCTAGGGTGTATAACAATCATTCACTTCAAATACTAGATGCCCCTATGATTAGAATATGTTCATATTTTGTATATACAAATTGAAATATATATATATTATATACATATTATATATATAAACCATTTTCCATGATTCAAACAATATACAATAAGTAAACCATCATTTTGGTCCACCAAGCCATCGCGGTCGCAGCGAAAAAGCGGCGCCTCTCGTTAAAGAGTGAGGGGACCTTCTTCAACTCGTGCCGCCGTGGGGCTTGAGTGATTTCGTCCTGAATCCTTAGGCTTTGAGGATTGTCATGGATTTTCCATGCCATCCATGAAGAGGGGTAGCTCCATTGATGGAAACCTCCAAATAAGGTTAAGCCTGGATTAATAAACCCCTAGGTTAGGTTGTGAAAATTTGGGGGTACCATCGAAGTATCAGATTATCACTATTTGGAGGGTACCCCCACAATCAATAAACCATGGTTTATTAATCCGGGGTTGACATGAGTTCCAACCCAGCCAAGGTTCGAGGGGAAGCTGGGTCAGAAATTCGCTGGGATCCCCGGATGAGGTGTGGAGCTGTCCACTCAGGTGGTGATGGAATTTCAAGCCCAAACGCTCCATGTTATGTATGAAAAAAACAAACAAATGTCATAAAGCTACCATACGGCCAAACACCTCGTTTTGCCCGAAGGACACACAAAACACAGTAAACTGATGTAAATTGGGGGTCATTCTGTTATTCCTGAAAGCCTCAGGTAGAGGACCTGTGCGACATTGCAAAAGTCATCCTGAACCCTATCATACTGAAGCCGTAAAACCCTAAATCCAGAACCCTACATCTTAAACTCCAAGAACATCCAAAATCATGAGAAAATCAAACAAAACCCCTAAACGCTAAACACCTAAACCCTAAAACACTATATAATTTTTAAACCCTAAAACCTTAAGCCTAAAAGTATCTAAAAGTGATGTTGGGCGAAACGAGGTGTCTGCGCAAAAATTGTGATTTGGGGATGGCATAGTATTGGGGTTTTACCACACTATACAAGCTAAATGGAACATCTGGGCGATGAACTCCCGCCAGATCACATATGGTTTGCTGTCGAAAGTTCCGTCCCAGTTGCTGACTTCAGGTGGCAAAGAAATAACATTGGGTCTTGTCCAATACTTGGGAAATTGCGTCCATTTTATCAGTCTGTTTCATTTGATGGGGAAGATCAGCTTAAGCTAAGAATTTTTTTATCTGGGGAGACTCCCACCAATGCATCAGCGGCATGTCTTCCAGACTCCGATTTTAAGTGGTTATGATGATGGGTTTTCCGGCCCCATATATCCATATATATATATATATCTCATTGCATGGGACATCATGGGACATCATGGAACATTTATGTAAACCTTCAAATTGGCTAGGTAAGCATCCACAATTCTGGAGGATTTCCCAAAACACCATGTGGACACCACGTGGCTGGCTGCTTATGGATGTTTCGCCATGGTCTACAGTCCCAAGACTATGCGTATGCTTAAAAACTTACCGCCCTGGGACAGAATCAAAATATTTAAGATCATGGTTTTTGAAGTCTATACATCTATCTATATATATACATACATATATATATATATATATTTAAATTACATATCTAATTTCTTGTTTTCTTAGTTGTACTGTCTCTATAGCACACAATTTCCTTTCGGGTGGCAAAATGTACCCATTTTGTATCCCACAGAACTTCGGCCAAGTCGCGTCCCAAAGGATTCATTGATGAGTTCCAAGGAATTTTTACCTTCAATCTTCAGCCCATTCATGGTGTTTATATATATATATATACATATGCATATATTATGTATATGCATATGTGTATGTGTATGTCTATGTATATGTATATGTATATGTCTATGTCAATGTATATATATATATGTATATATGTACATATGCATATAATATGTATATATATATATATATATGTTTATATGTTTATATGATTATGTGTTTTTATGTTTATATGTATATATGTCTATGACTATGTATATGTATATGTTTATGTCTATGTGTATGTGTATGTACGCATGTACCTATGTACGTATGGACGTATGCAGGTATGTATGCATGTATCAAATAAATAAGTATATATATATATATATGTAGATGTATATTTAGTTGTCACATGTATTTGTGTCGACAAAATCACTCATACACATGTAGGCAAGTATACCAGCACCATGACTGATTTGTTGTCAATGTCGCACCATTTTCCTAACATACACAGCAAACATGGCCTTCGCTCTGCTATGGGGTGTCATTGGCTAAACCACATTGCAAATGACAGGCCCTCCTACAGCTACCAATAGTTTACAGCTGGCCATCGTTGGGGTGACGTGCCAAAATGAAAAGTCACAGCAACCAAATTGGCAAACACATGACCAAACAGAAATCAGTCTCACCCTTGGCGTAGTCAGTTCACCCCATAAAGATAAAACAAATTCTCTGGCCGAACCGCCCCAGGCTAGTTTCACCAATAAATCGGGAAAATCCCTGGGCAAATACAGCCGGATCTTGACTCATAAACCAACAAGCTCCAACCCAGTTGATCCTCACGTAGTTTCTATATCAAACCTAGATGTCATATTTATCTTTTCCATTCTTTTCCAAATTGTTTTGTATCCAAGACCTTCGTGATTTAAAACTCCGGGGATTTCTTCGTTTTGCGTTCCTGGATTTGTCATCAGCATTCTCCAGCCTTCCGTGCTTGCCGTGATGTTCTGCAGCAGCCGCTCAATGGTTGTCTGCCATTCACGGTGCCTGCAAGGTGGTGGTGCTAGGGTCTTGGATGCTTGCTGTATGTCAAGGGCAACTGCCAAGGACACACATATGCATAATATACAGCATATATGTCAAAAAATAAGAATAAACTTTACCAATGGAATTGAATGTCATCAAACTTTGTCTGTATTTATGCGCACATACACCTACTACTGATAAATGTACAACATATGTATATCATGTAATGCAAAATATATATATATAATATGACTATTGTCAAGTATTTCTTGTGGGGCGCTAAAGCTTGACTTGAACCCATTCTGATGGGAACAGGGCACATCCTTTCGCACTCCTCAAACATGGACAAGCCCAGTCATTATTGGCACTGGACTTTTGATGCCCCTTAAGTCAGGTTCTTTAAGAATATGACTGAAAGTGGGCACTTAGGGACACTTCTTGTATGACGACAATAGGTTGATACTTGGAGGATCATCCCAATTCAAAACTGAAAAAGGATACTTCTTGACCAGGATCATCAAGCATTTCCTATCAGGCTCATTGTATCCATGAGCTTGGTTGTTTTACGCGCCATATTTGTCAACTCTTTATCCAGGGCATATATATATATATATATATATACATATGCAAATGTGTTGCATGATATGTGTATATATATACATATAGGAATCATATTATATTGGAATGTGGAGTACAACAATACATTCAATGTGTATACCTACATATGTATATTATATATATATGGGTACATTTATCTATGCCAACTAAATGCAATTTTTATGTAATTCATACGTCGTATCATCCGTCCTTTTGACGGAGCCAATCGGATTGGCTCTTCCGTGCCAGGTCTGCCAGGTCGCTGTTGATTCAGGCGCTCCAAGCTTTCGTAGGAAGCTTTCCTTATGGATTGACCACATCCAAATGACCCTTCGATGTTGGAAAAATGATGAAAATAATCACATGGCAAATGGAATGGGATAACATATGTTCAGACAAACCTAGTGTTGTTGTAAAAAAATGAAAAAACATGTGGATGTAATCTGATACTCAAAATTATTGATGGTTCTAACGATGGACGACAGACTATTTAAACAGCATGGGAAGATTCAGCAACAAATCAGGGGATTTAAACAGAAATTCTGCTCCAACCCAGAAGGTAGCTTGGGGATGAACTGCAACTACAAGGCCTGGTGACTGATTGATGTTTCTTTGCCACGTCTCAACCAACTTTATTCAATAAACAATTGGAATAGAAAACATTGCATTGAATAAAGTTTATTGTTTCATTTTATTCCGTATCAAATCATCATCAAAGGTAGAGTATGGTTCAGGTATTAATGTTGGAACATGGGCAACTGCAACTGCTAATCAAACCATGCAATCAACACATGTTTAATTGGATGAAACCCGTCGGACTGCTAATCAAAAGACTATCAAATCAAAGCTACAATGGATGACCCTCAGCAGGGGACGTGACCCATGAAGAACACCAACCCAAACCAGCAGTTCTCCAGTGGCTGATGAGATATCTTACCACCAAGAGTTGACTCAGCTGATTGGCTGAAAACCGCTGAAAACCATGGTTTTGAGTGGGTTTTGAGGCATCCTGATCTAGTTTTAACATGGTTTTTGTCCAAAGTTGGATGGATTATTGGTCTGTTATGTCTTAAAAAAAGACCCCAACTCGAATAAACAACAACCAAACACTTCATCTAACAAACCTTGTAAACCAGTACAAAAGCTTTTGCACCGTACAATGGGTCAGCCAGGGTATGTGATACCCGTTTGGCCCCAAGAGTTTGGGATATCAAAGAACTTGGCCCAATTGGAGCTTGAAGTCGAAAACCAGAAAGTTGATCAAACCAGGAAAACACAAATTTCTTCTGGATTCACTCCTCCTCCTCCTCATCATCATCATCATCACCATCATCATCATCATCATCATCATCATCCATCATCATCATCATCATCATCAAAATCATCATCATCATCATCACCATCATCATCATCATCATCATCATCCATCATCACCATCATCATCATGATCATGGTCATCGTTCCTATAAATCAACATTGATTTTGGGGGATATCCCCCATGGTCTCGGACGTATCGCCAAATGGTTTCACCAGGCGTCTGCTGCTTTTGAACCTCCACCAGCTGATTCAAGGTACTGGACAAGTCGTGCTCCATGGTCCACAGGGCAACAAGTCGAAGAACGACGATTCAACGCCAAGGACCCCCAAAAAAAAATACCAAAGGTGGTTCCCATCCACTGGGGTCTATACCTTTTCAACATGTTCTTGACGTTCAAAGTTTCAAATGTCTCTTGCGGTTATTGTTACTTGAATTTATGTTCATCGAAATCCGGATCTACAAAAGGATCGACCGGAGGAATTCTAAGTGCCCACTGGTCTGCCAGTTTGAAGCAGTGGCTGTCTGACAACTGTCTGGAAATAGTTGATCCACATTGATCCACAGGGCAACTGCGGTCTTGTTCACGCCATCTTGTTCACAAGACTAACATGGGTGTGTCCCCTACTTTGGATGGAAGAAATCCTGCACCACCTTGGATGGTTGAAACCCTATAAATAAAACAAGAGGGTTCACGTTGGTCCACTTACAGGTCCAAGTGATTTAGATCCGTTTGACCTCCACATGGATTGAGTTTGGTGATCCCATGGCTTCAGATTAATTCCATCCGTCTCATTCGTTGCCAATTCTCAAGTCGCGTTAACCCCACTTTCCCGTGAGACATCAGCTGTTGACAAGTATGTATGTATGTATGTATCTATCTATCTATCGATCGATCGATCTATCTGTCGATCTATCTATCTATCTATCTAACTATCTATCTATCTGTCTATCTATCTATCTATTTATCTATCTATCTATCTATCTATCTATCTATCTATCTATCTATCTATCTATCTATCTATCGGTCTAGCTATCATTTATCGATTGATCTATTGATCTATCTATCTATCTATCGATCGATCTATCGATCTATCCCTCGATCGATCTATCGGTCTATCGATCTATCTATCTATATAATAGATCGATCTATCGATCTATCTATCTATCGATCGATCTATCTATCCATTGATCGATCTATCAATTCATCTATCTAACGATCTATCTATCTATTGATCTATCTATCTATCTATCTATCTATCTATCCATTGATCGATCTATTGATCTATTTATCTATTTTTCTTTCTATCTATCCATCCATCTATCTATCTATTTCTCTACCTATCTATCTATCTACCAAGCTATCTAGCTATCTCCTATCTCTCTATCTCTCTATCTATCTGTCTATCTACCTATCTATCTATCTACCTACCTATCTATCGATCTATCTATCTTTCTATCTATCTATCTATCTATCTACCTACGTATCTATGTATCTACGTATCTATGTATCTATGTATCTATATATGTATGTATCTAGCTATCTAGCTAGCTATCTATCTATCTATCTATCTATCTATCTATCTATCTCTCTCTATCTACCTACCTATCGATCCATCTATCTATCTTTCTTTCTTTCTATCGATCGATATATTGATCTATCTATCTATCCATATCCATCTATCTATCTATTGATCGATCTATCGATGTATCTGTCTATTTATCGATCGATCTATCAATCTACTTTGGTGCTCCTATAGAGTTATAACTCGATTATAACCTATAGTTATAACTAAGTTACTAAGTCATAACTTCTTAGCTAACTTTTCGTAACTTTTTTTGCTATAAAAAACAGTTCCTTTGAAATTGATCAAATTTTGATCTTTTTGATGATTTTGAGTGTTTGCTGTTTGAAGCGGTTTCAACTGCTTTAAAAAATGCTGTATGGAGCGGTTTTCAAACCGCTCAAAGCTGTTTTTGTTTGAACAGCCGTTTTCAGCATGTCAAACGCACCGGCTGATGAGCCGCTTTTGCCGACCAGGTGTGGCAATCCTGCAACCAGGACTCATCCCAAGGGTCATATAGTCCTTACTCCTCCTGCTCCACCTTCACCTCCTCCTCCTCGACCTTCACCTCTGTCTCCTCCTCGACAAGAACTTCTTCGTATTCATGAAGTTCATCTGCCCAACGTGCTTCTTGGTCAGGATCCCATGACCTTGTTCATGTGTACATCTGCCAAAAATATATTTAACAGAAATGTTTATCTATAGTTATTTACATCATATGTTTTTCACTATACACTGATTGAAGCGGTTTAAACCGCTACAAGTGGTAGAATACCATTTGGAGAGGTTGAAACTGCTACAGTTCATGGAGCATGCATACCCCTATCAGCCATGGAGCTGTTGAAACTGCTACATTTTTTTGCTTCTGTGCCAGTGTTGGGCTGACTTTTGAGTGTGTTTGTTTTTTTCATAGCCATGAACTGCCAATGGGATTTGTTTTGCAAATTCACGGGTTTTTGGATATCTTGACGTCGTATTTTGTCTTTAGATGTTTTCAAGTTTCAATCTTTTGAGATTGTTTGTGATTGCAGAGATGGTGAAAGCTGCATATAATAATAGTCTGATGAAATAGTTGAGTTTACAATGCTACATTTTATGGACGCTGTATTATCTAAGTCATGTTGTCAGGACTGTGAATTCATTGAGATCTGTAAGTCAATGATTTTGTGAAATCTCATTCTTTCAAAGTAAGTCCCAACCCCAGGACTTACAAAGTTCAAACAGAGTTGAAGTCCAGCAGGCTTCACAAACTAATACATTGCAAAATTATATGGCAAAACCTTTTGGATTCAATCAGGTTCTCATAGATTAGGTTTCTAAACTTGACAGTCACCTCAACTCCAAATGAGGGAATGTGCAACTGGTTTTAAAATGTTAAAACCGCAATTTTGCCAAATTGATTTTGAAGTTATAGTCTGATAAATCTAAAGATGAAGAGGGAAAAAAGGCAGTTGATGAATAAACAATACCACCAGTATACCACCAGTATACCAACAGTATACCATGGTATACCGTCAGTATACCATGGTATACGGTCAGTATACCACCAGTATACCACCAGTACACCACCAGTATACCACCAGTATACCACCAGTATACCACAAAGGCCTTTACAGGTTTGGATCAGGGATTTTGTTTTCACATGGTGGTGCAATGAAACTTTTTTTCCAATTTCAGCCTCAAGATTGCTTTGCTTTGCATTGCATTGAATTGCATTGCATTGCATTGTTCAGTCTGAAGCGCATTTCAATTTAAAGCTGACAGCACTGAGATCTATGAGAGTTCAATGAATCTGTTTCTTCTTGTGTTCAGTCTGACATGCATTTCAATTAAAACTCGACAGCACTGAGATCTACGAGAATTCTGTTTTTGTTTTTCAGCTTGTGATGCATTTCAGTTTGTCACTACGGTGTGCACTTCATAGTGAAGAGCAAGAAAAAAGAGGCCCAAGATTAGTGTCTGTAACTTGTCTTTTTGGTTTATACTTGGGTAAGGGCATCACAAAACTCTGGCTATATGTTTGTTGATGGCGGTTGATAGGTTTCAATGTAGCGGTTAAAACCGCTTCAATGCTAAACCCTTTCTCCAGGGCAAAGTAAAAAAAATAATGCTGCAAGTGACTCCTCTGTGTCGCTCCTGTCCGCTGACTCAACATGGAAGCGGTATATCAACCGCTAAGTTGCATGGGAGCGGTTTCAACCGCTGACTGAACATGGAAGCGGTTTCAACCGCTGAGTTGCATGGGAGCGGTGTCAACCGCTGACTCAACATGGAAGCGGTTCTTCTAATCGCTCACGAAACACTTGCCCATGGAAGCGGTGAAAAGCGCGCATTTTTCAAAAATAAAAACTTCGAAGCGGCTCAACCGCTGTAATTAGAAAAATATTGTTTCCGATACAATAAATACAAATGTTTTCATTTTTTCAAAATTATAAAAATGTGACAAAATAGTTGATATTTGCTTCACTTCATAACTTTTCATACCTTTTTGTAAACCTAAAGTTATAACTTCTTATAACTCTATAGGAGCACCAAAGTATCTTTATATTGATTAATATCTATATATCTATGAAAAGATCTATCTATCGATCGATCTATATATCTATCCATTGATCGATCTATTTATCTATCTATCTATCTATCTATCTATCTATCGATCTACCGATCTATCGATCTATCGATCTATCTGTCTATCTATCGATCTATCTATCGATCTATCTATCTAATCTATTTATCTATCTATCTATCTATTTATCTATCTATATATCTATCTATCTAATCTATCTAAATTATCTAATCTATCTAATTATCCAATCTATCTAATCTATCCAATCTATCCAATCTATCCAATCTATCTAATCTATCTAATCTATCCAATCAATCTATTTTTTAATCTATGCAATATATTCAATCTATCTAATCTATCTAATCTATCTAATCAATCTAATCGATCTAATCGATCTAATCGATCTAATCTATCTCATCTATCTAATCTATGTAATCTATCGAATCTATCTTTTCTATCTATTCTATCTAATCTATCTAATCAATCTAATCGATCTAATCGATCCAATCGATCCAACCGATCTAATCCATCTTTTCTATCTATTCTATCTAATCTATCTAATCAATCTAATCGATCTAATCGATCTATTTTTTCTAATCTATCTATTCTATCTATTCTATCTAATCTATCTAATCAATCTAATCGATCTAATCGATCTAATCGATCTATTTTTTCTAATCTATCTATTCTATCTATTCTATCTATTCTATCTATTCTATCTAATCTATCTAATCTATCTAATCGATCTAATCTATCTAATCTACCTATTATATCTATTCTATCTAATCTATCTAATCTATCTACTCAATCTAATCTATCTAATCGATCTAATCTATCTAATCTACCTATTATATCTATTCTATCTAATCTATCTAATCTATCTAATCAATCTATTCGATCTATCTATTCTATCTATCTATTCATATATCTATCTTATCTACCCATCGATCTATCGATCTATCGATCTATCGATCTACCGATCTATCTACTATCTATCTATCTATCGATCTATCTATCGATCTATCTATCTATCTATCTATCTATATCTATCTATCTAATCTATCTAAATTATCTAATCTATCTAATTATCCAATCTATCTAATCTATCCAATCTATCCAATCTATCCAATCTATCTAATCTATCTAAT